TGACTGTTTATGGGACATTGGTGTGCACAATTGGCTGCCGCGTTCGCCCACAAATATACAGTCAATTCACTTTACAGTGTGTTCTGTGAAGCGCTTTGGGACGTCCTCCCGACGTGAAAAGCTCTATATCAAATGCAAGGATTATTATTATTATTGTTATAAATGCAAGGATTATTATTATAACTTAACATTTCCTGCTGACTGTTCCAGTGCCTCTTTCGTCATTACCGCAGTGCAACCTGGTAGTTTCATCATAGCCCGGTATGGTGAGATGCCCGTAGTAGCATGTGGGGTTGAGCGAATTGCCATCAAACACAATGGCAGTCCCTTCAACCATTGTGTGGGCTGATCTGCACAAAATTTACTTAGTAAGGTTTTAAGAGTTCGATTGCTCCTCTCGACTAACCCTGAGGATTGTGGATGATATGACACATGCAAGTTGGGTTTTATCACCAATAGTTTCAATAGGGCCATAAAGACTTCCCCGGTGAAATGTGAACCCTGATCACCGTCAATTTTGCCTGGTATTCCCCACCTGCAGATCACCTCACACAACAAAATACGCACAGCGGTGAGGGCAGTGTTATTCTTAGTGGGAAAAGCCTCCATCCACTTAGTAAATTTGTCAATAATTACCAAACAATACTTATAGCCACCCGAAGCAGTCAGCAGGGGTCTATAAAATCAATTTTGGATGTGATCCCAAGGGCCACGTGGGACAGGAGCGCTTTGTAAAAGGGCACAGATGGACTTGGGAGAAGGGTTAGGCTGGAGACAGACAATGCACTTTTTACAGCGGATGAGCACATCATCAGACAAACCCGGCCACCACACTGAGTTACGAATTTTCGTAATAGTCTTAGAGGGGGAAAAATGACCTCCTGTAGGATGGGAATGATACAACTGGAACATGGCATCCGCACATTCGGGAGGAACGCATACAGTGAAAACTGTGCTTGTCATACATAAGGACAGGAGAGGCTTGAGAATCTAGAGGTACATAAAGGTGAATGTGAGCAATCCAATGGTACTGGGGCTGAGGTATCACATCGATACCTGCCAACTGTTCCACATGCCACTGAATGGCCTGCTGATAGGGTGGGTACGAGTTCTGGAGATTGATCATATCAGTTAAGGATGGCGAAGTTGAAATACTCATGACGGAAGCAGTAGGAAGGGGAGGAGGGCTCCAAGCCTCGTCGTCCATTGCAGCAGCCTTAGCGATGTGATCAGCCAACTGATTTCCCGAAGTATGAGGTCCTTGTTTTTGATGACCGGCTACCTTACCAATATGTATTGAATGGGTCTGACGGGAGAGTAGGTCTGAAAGTTGCTGAAGTAAGTTAGAATGAACGAGGGGTTTGCGAGTAGGAGAGCAAAACTGACGAGACGCATACAGTGGTAATAGCAAAACGGTGTAGCGCATCTCAAGACCCTCTTCCTCAACCGTGCCTTCGGCCACCCTCTACCCCCACCTTCAACTGATCCCAACGCTCAGCTCGGATCCAAACCCCTAACTGTCCAGCGCCTTGGGATGTTCTCCCGACATGAAAGGTGCTGTACAAATGTAATTTTGTATCGTACATAATGCCAATTATTACCTCAAAGTAACTCATTTCCACCCACAAAATACAATCAATTCACGTTACAATATATTCTGTGAAGCACGTTGAGACGTCTCAATGATGTGATCAGGTGCTACATCAAATGGAAAGATTAGTATTACTATATTGCGTTCGAAATATCTCTGAAACTGTTTTGTACAAATTGCTTTGAGACATGTTGATGTTATATAATAAATGGAAGTATGAATAGATTACTTTCCTCAGTCCACAATTCTCCATTAACACTTGATTATGTACCATTTAAAAGCCTGAGTTTCTATCCAGTCTTAGCATGTAAGGTCATGTTTGTCTTAATAATTTATTGTTCACAATTATGAAATATTCTTCAATATCTCTCGCCCTCTGCTTTGTATAACAACCTGTTAAAATATGACTAGTTTTACATTCATAAACAAAAGTTTCACAAACTCGATTGACCTTCAAATGTTCTGTTGGGTAACTGTTATGCAACACTTGGCTTGAACCCGAATATTAACACGTCTTGGCATACATTCAACGCAGACTTTCATACTCATTAATGCTTAATTATCATTCAGTAAAGGAGCTGCACACTGGACTAATGAAATGAGTTTCGATTAACAGCAGGCCACAGAGCAAAGCATTTCAACATATGGGATTTGGTAGTCGAGACTACCTTCACATGGTATGTTGCAAACCTTGTTATTTATCAGGTGATCTTCAGTCTCTCACAGTCTTCACTCCCAGTTTAGTGTATGACCCCTTTCCACATGTTGTTATTCTCCGTGTTCTGTTTTGCCACCTTCAGCCTGTTCTCAAAGACAAGATGATCACTCTCATCCTGAATCAAGCGAAAAATAACTTCCCTAAGATGTAATCACGAAGATATGGCGACCTTTTTTTGTTTAAAAGAAAGTTCATTATTTAAACTTTTAACAATGAATGGTGTTGGATTACCCACAAGGCAGTCACTCCACTTTACAGTAAATCTTGTCAAGTATTCTATGTGATTCTATACACTGTGAAGCACTGGATACAAAATCACGGACAAGAGGTCAGAAATTTCACCCAGTCTTAACCTGTAATAACACCACCAGCTTGCATTTATATAGCACCCTTCACCCAGGGCAGCATCTCGGAGAACTTTTTGGTCTTAAAGTTTAAGATTGCAGAAAATTACCAATAATTCTTGAAAATAGTTCTTTGAAAGAACCAGCTCCTAAATTTAGGCTGAATGTAACAATATTCTAGTTTTTATATTAATATAATTTCTTAAATTTTCAGTCAGAATAGTTTTGATGCTTGGAGCAGGTGGAATTTCAGGCCTTGGCATCAGTGCGACTGGTCTTTTACGAGGTTAGATGCCTTACATTTCTCTGGCTAATGACGATCACAGGTAGCGATGAGGGCGGTTTCATGCCCAGGAACAGGAATACCAAGAAAACTGCAAATCACTAAGGCAGACACCAAACATTTTTCACTTTCTATAAGCTTTAAGGTTCTTCTTCATTAAGTATTCAGCGTAACGCGTGGGTTTAATTCTCTGATCTTCGATTTGTGCCACATTATAATTATTGTACTTTATTTTGCTCACAGCACTTATCTGTGGAGTGAGCTACATTCCTCAAACCCACATTGCCATCCAAAGGTTCATTCCTGTATTGGAACAAAGGAAAACAGTCAGATGAACCCGCATTTGCTGCACCGGCTGAAATCACCCCATTTGCGTTCAATAAAGGTTATTTTGCCACTAATTATGCAGTGAATCTGCACATTTACCACTGAAGTGTTAAGTGTGATCTATTCAACACTTTCATATTAGCAGCAAAGCTAAATTAAACCCATTCCGTAGAATGTTTAATGCCACTAATTAGCTCCTGGACTGTAATTTGTTTTCTGTTTTTCAGACAAAACGCTGTTCAGCAGCAGTTAGGTTTCTATCAGCTCCCGTTTTCCAAGATGTCATGGATGACAACTCAGTCCGGTCAGAACGGGATTGTCAGCAATCTCCAGCCCATAACATCAACAACAACCATCTGTGGAACAGGGCAGGCTATAGTCCCAATTTGCAACAAATTAATGGGCCAAATTAAACTTAAACATCAGGCAGTGTATTCCCTCTGCCTGAACAGTGGGTACAGTTGGCAGAATACTGCAGAAGCTCATTAATACGGATTGATACAATGATGGGATATGACAGGACAGCGTCAAAAGTCCACTCTTGGTCTGAGACATCAAACTGAGGTCCCGTTGCCTGTCCAGGTGGATGTTAAAAGATCCCATGGCACTATTTGAAAAGACAAAGGAGTTTTTTCCCAATGTCCTGGTCATCAATCTGTCCCAAACAAAATTGATCACTCACTCCGTGGCTGTTGTTGGGACATGGCTGTGCGCAATTGGCTGCCAAGTTCACCCATAAAATACAGTCACTAAACTTTACAGACTATCCTGTGAAGCGCTTTGAGACGTCTCGACAACATAAGGTGCGACACCAAATGCAAGGATTATTGTTATTGTGCCTTTCACAACAGATAAGACATCCGAAGGTCTTCACAGGATATACTGTAAAGTGCAGTGACTCTGTGTTTTGTGATTGAAGGATTATGATTGGAATTCTCTTCTGATACAATCCAAGCCCTTTTTTTAGGAAAAGAAAAAATCCTTTGACTGCAACTAATTCTATTATAGAGATTAGTACGATCACCAGTTTGTGGGCACTCAGACTCATAGGCAGCAAGTGAGAACAGCAGGTGTTAATGATCAAGATAAATCCAGGCACATGATAGGTTTAACTGAACAACATTGGCTTTTTAACACTTGGTGCAAATGTGTCTGAAACCATTGTGGGTAATATTAATAGGTACAGCACGATGTGGAAACACAACGGCCAGGGACACGGGGTTGGAGAGTTACATAGGAGGATATTCCCCCAAATGACACTTGTATCTTATTGCACCAGATAGTGACGAGACAGTGGCTGAGGATCAGTGTATAATCAACTCCCAGTAACTGCACCAACAGGGGAGTTGCTGAAGGGAGAGTGGCTTCCCTCAGGCTGGGAGGGAGGGAGGGAGGGAGGGAGGCAGTTCACGAAACCCATTTTTCTCATTTTAAATCAACATCCTGTAAGCAGGTCCCAAAATATAAACAACCCCATTATTGTGCAAGGAAATCGCAAGCTGATTGTGAACAATAGGTAACCTGGGAGTTTAGGAAAAAAACCTTCATCTGGAACTTATACAGTGATTTTAACAACATCTCAAATGGGATGCAACCTGAGTGCAGGTTTGTGGGAGGGGGAGTGGGGAGGGAGGGAAGTGTGTGTGGGGAGGGTGGGGGGAATTATTCAGAGTGAGAGCCAATGGAGGTAATCAATTCAAATAGCACAATTAGAAAATATTCTGCACCAGTCAAATTAAGCAAAACGATGTGTATTTAAAAGCCTTTCAAAATGTATTATATATTCAGTCAAATCCGAGCAAAACAAAATCCACATTTTCTCTCAAGCGGAATGGTTTAGAAATGTAGGTTTTCAGAAAGTGATTGTAGATCATGATAGTCAACAACAACACCACCACCAAAATTACATTTATAGAGCGTCTTTCACGTCGGGAGGACGTCCCAAAGTGCTGAGTCATTAAAATTCATAATAGAAAACCTTAGAATAAGATGACTCATTGTTCTCAACAGCGTTGTTAGATTAAGGAATTCTCTCTTCCAAAACCTACCCTTAAAAAGTTCTCTTTCAGAATAATAATGAAGATAATATGAGAACTATTTGGAAGTTACATAATTTCTGTGATTACACAATCCTCTTAGTGCACGATTAGTTTCCTTCAGCTCCTCTTTCAAACAATCAAGTCATATTGGAAGTGGCTGTAGTCCAGGTCTATCTCTGCTCCAGGCATTCTGATGGAGTGTGATCATGGCTCTGATCTGAATTTTAATCACTGTAAGTTTTCTTCACCGAAGCATCTTGTTTCATACTGCGTAATGGCTCCACAAGCTGATTGTGAACATGAAGCAAACCTGGGAGAGCCGGAGGAAGGGAAGAGAATAAGAATATATTCAGCTTGAATCAATAGTCCTTCGTCACAGGTCTATATGAGATGTTCAAAACTGCATTGCCATGTAGACATTTATACAGATCAACTCGGTAACGAAAACATTCACAAACACGATGAGACAGACATCTCCTGCAATAGTTACACATTCACTACCAATGTTGGTTTGGATGCTCTTTAAGCATGTGTCAGAAACCCACCATCCCTAAATAAATAAATAAATAAGTAAATAGACAGACAGATAAGTAAATGAATAAACTAATAAATAAATGAATAAATAAAGATCCCTGACACGCTTGTAAGTCCTTGCTCACTCTGACAAGGGTGCTACCTTTAAAATATTTGACTGTTTTTACACGGAGTTCCAATGTGGCGTCCTCATCACACACAAAGATGGTCCTTGGATGTTGCTGGAAAGCTGACACCGTCCACATGTGATTGACACCTTCCTCAATTGCCTTGTACAGAGCAAAGGCCTTATGAGCTCCTGTGATGAGAATCATCACCTTTAGAAACACAGGGAGGGAGAAAATCATTTTGTTTAAGATTAATAGCATTGACCATTTATGAAAAAATAGTAAATGTAAATAGGTCTGAAATGTTTAGTTTATTTTTTTGAACAAAGACAGTAATACAGGATATAGTTTTCTATGTGTGCAGTATTGCAATAATGCACTTTTTCCCTATAATAAGAATTCTTCGTTGATATTGTATCTTTCACGTCAAGAGGACATCTTAAAGTACTTCAAAGAATTGTTACTGTAAAGTGTAGTGTCTGTTTTGCAGGCAAATGCTGCATGCAGTTTGTGCACAGTGATGCCCAACAAACAGCCACAAAACAGCCACAAATAGCCAGGACAAACGACCAATTTTATCTGGGGAATTGTTGTCCAGGAGACTGGGAGAAATTCCATTCTCTTTTCAAATTGTGCCGTTGGGATTTTTAACTTTCACCTGAACAGGTAAACGGGAACTCGGTCGAGGTTCACGGCTCATGTTCAGAGTGACGAGTATTGATCTTTCTTTTCATGTTGACAGCTACACAAAGGTTATAGATGCTGTTTCCATTGTTTTTTCTTGGCAGATTTCATAATTGCTAACTAAACAGGTCATAGAGTCAACACTTTACCAGTAATTGGACAAACACCAGTAGATTCCCTGATGGAGCCAAATGTAGGGAAATTTACTTTGACCCACGATTGGAGAATGCTATGGTTCCTGTCGTTCATGTCAGGAGACATCAGTAACGAACAGACTCCCTTAAAGAGGCTTTCTGTATAAAATGGTACAAACAAAGAATGGCCATTCCTTTACCTCTGCGGCTTCCATGACAGTCCCTACACCAACAGTCAAAGCCATAGTCGGCACTTTGGACAGGTCACTGTCGAAGAACCTGGCGTTGGCCAATATCGTATCCACTGCCAAAGTCTTCACTCTGGTCCGTGACACCAGACTGGATCCTGGCTCATTGAACGCAATGTGACCATCTGGGCCGATCCCTGGTATTACCAAAAAACACATTAAAGCTCTTCAATATTGTGTTTGATGCAGCACCAAATCCCGTTGTCATTCGGCTCAAAGCATTTCACAGAATATACTGTAAAGTGGATTGACTGTTTTTTGTGGGCAAAATGTGACAGCCAATATTAAAGGACATAGAGGGGTTTAGGAGAGAACAAAAGGGATGAAGGTTTGTGCAGATTATAAATGACCAAAAGGATTGTTTCTGTGCTGTATCGCTCTATGTAACTCAATTTACAATTATTTTAGAGCAAATAGAGAAGAACAAACCACAGCTATGATCAGAAGTCAGTGACTTGCAATGTTGAGCCTATCCCTAACACTGGGCCATCTTCTAGAGTTTCAAATGTTACAACAAACAACAAATTACAGTTACAACACCTCCAAGGAACAGCTCGATTCCTCCTGCTGCTTTAATCTTCGCTTCGAATAAATCACATTCAGCCTTCAGATCAGGTGCGTTCCCATCCAGAATGTAGGCGTTTTCAGCCAATATATCAACGTGTTTAAAGAAATTGTTCCACATGAAGGAATGATAGCTCTCTGGATGGTCCCTCGGAAGGCCTGCAAAGGGATTCATTTTATCATCCAAAAGCCCAGTTGATTATAAATTTACCAAGTAAATGTGTGAGACTTACCCACATATTCATCCATGTTGAAGGTTTTCACATATTTGAAAGACAAATCTCCGTTCTTGTAATATTCAATCAGCTTCTTATAACATCCTAATGGAGTGCTTCCTGCAGCAAAACAAAGCACATCTCTGCTACAGAATGAATTTAACTCCTGGAAGATTCAACCAAACTTAAATAATAATCCTTGCATGTGATATAGCACCTCATTCAGTCGTAGAAACATCTCAAAGCGCTTCACAGATTATCTTGTAAAGTGAATCGACTGTATATTTTTTGGTCGAAACATGGCAATTACTGTGGACTGTGGAGTCCTGTAGCTCAGTGGTTAGAGCACTCGCTTTGCAAGTGAGAGACCTGAGTTCAATTCCAGGCAGAGGGCGAGGCCTTGGGCAAGTTTCCTTACTCCACACAGAGCCTGATAATAATCCTCCAAAACCAAAAACAATAATAAATTGGTCATTTTCAATCCACAACTGTTTGTGGGACATTGTTGTACGCAATTGGCTGCCGCGTTCGCCCACAAATATACAGTCAATTCACTTTACAGTGTGTTCTGTGAAGCGCTTTGGGACGTCCTCCCGACGTGAAAAGCGCTTCACCAAATGCAAGGATTATTATTATTATTATAATTACAGCAGTAAGTGTGTCCCACAAACAGTCGTGGATCGAGTAACCAAATTCTTATTATTGTTTTGAAGGGATTATTACCCCCAGAAAGTGATCGGCCAATCGACTAACAAGGGGGTTCCTACCGACTGCTGAGAAACACAGGCGTGTGTGTGTGTGTGTGTGTGTCTCTGTGTCTGTCTCTGTGTGTGTGTGTCTCTGTGTCTGTGTGTGTCTCTCTGTGCGTGTGTGTGTGGAGTAAGGAAACTTGCCCGAGGTCTTGTCCAGATTCTCTCGCTTACGAGTCGTGAGCTGTAACCCACACCTTTAAACAGACGTCACAAAGTCCGATCTCACACACGGGGTTTGATCACGTACCAGTCGGTAACCCGAGCGTGAAGTACTTTTCTGGACCTGGGCTGAACTCGATGATCCGGTTCCTGATGTATTTGGCCGCCCACTCACTGGTCATCGAGTAGTTATCCAAGATAATTAACTTCATTGTCGCTACTTTAACTGCAAGAAACTAAGTTAAACAGAGAAGAAAAGCTTTGATTTGCCATCAGATTCTTTTGATGCCAACTGTGGACAACCTTCCAGAACATCTGCAGCTCCAGCCTCCCCGAGACCATCACTCCAGCGTCACGGTCAACCTCCTCGCCCACCCTCACCCCCAACCCACTGTCCCTGTGCCCCCCCCCCACTCCGGCTCTACCCAACCCCCCGGCTCTGCCCCTCTCCCCGGCTCTGCCCCTCTCCCCGGCTCTGCCCCTCTCCCCGTCTCTGCCCCTCTCCCCGTCTCTGCCCCTCTCCCCGGCTCTGCCCCTCCCCCGCTCTGCCCCTCCCCCGTCTCTGCCCTCCCCGTCTCTGCCCTCCCCGTCTCTGCCCCTCCCCCGTCTCTGCCCCTCACCCCGTCTCTGCCCTCACCCCGTCTCTGCCCCTCACCCCGTCTCTGCCCCTCACCCCGTCTCTGCCCCTCACCCCGTCTCTGCCCCTCACCCCGTCTCTGCCCTCACCCCGTCTCTGCCCCTCACCCCGTCTCTGCCCCTCACCCCGTCTCTGCCCCTCACCCCGTCTCTGCCCCTCACCCCGTCTCTGCCCCTCACCCCGTCTCTGCCCCTCACCCCGTCTCTGCCCCTCACCCCGTCTCTGCCCTCACCCCGTCTCTGCCCCTCACCCCGTCTCTGCCCCTCCCCACACAGAATGAAATTGTTAACAACACTGGAAATTGTGCACCACTGACTGGAGCTCTCACACACACAGACACACACACACACACACACACACACACACACACAGACACACACACACACAGACACACACACACACACACACACAGACACACACACACACACAGACACACACACACACACACACACACACACACACACAGACACACACACACACACAGACACACACACAGACACACACACACACACACACACAGACACACATCATGTGGGGGTGAGGGGCTAAAGGGGAAGAGCAGCTCTCACTGACGCCGGTGTTGATCTGCGGACCCTCTGCCCTTCAGCTGTGACCGTGTGAGTGTGAGGGTCTGTGTCACTGTGTCTGTCAGTGTGAGTGTGAGGGTCTGTGTCACTGTGTCTGTCAGTGTGAGTGTGAGGGTCTGTGTCACTGTGTCTGTCAGTGTGAGTGTGAGGGTCTGTGTCACTGTGTCTGTCAGTGTGAGTGTGAGGGTCTGTGTCACTCTCTGTGTCTGTGTCGGAGCTGCGGGTGAATGGCTTCCGGTCAGGTGATAGCAAAGGGGCGGAGCCTCAGTCACTGCAGTTATATACACATCGCGGGAGGTCCTGAGGTCAGAGCCCGAGTACTGGGGTCGGGGGTCAGGGGGTCAGGGTGGTGGGGTCAGGGGGGGGTGGTGGGGGGGGTCAGGGGGGGATGGTGGGGGGGTCAGGGGGGGGGTGGGGGGGGTCGAGGTGAGCGGAGGGAGGGAGTGAGGAGACGGTAGAGAGTCGAGAGCGGAGCTGAAGGTCAAAGAGAAAGGTCTCAAGGCCCTGAAGGAGGAGAGGAGGAAGCGGCGAAGGCACTGGGGATGGAGTTCCAGAGCCTCGGGGCTGAGAGGCTGAAGGCCACCGATGGTCGGGCGGTTGGGGCGGGGGATGGGGGACCGACTGGAGCCGGAGGGTACGGGGGGTACGTGGGGGGACAGTAGGGGGATGGGGGGCCGACCGGAGCCGGAGGGACGGGGGGTACGTGGGGGGACAGTAGGGGGATGGGGGGCCGACCGGAGCCGGAGGGACGGGGGGTACGTGGGGGGACAGTAGGGGGATGGGGGGCCGACCGGAGCCGGAGGAACACAAACAGTGAGAGAACCCCCAAACCCCCACACACACCATCACAAAAAACCCACGAGGTCCAAAACGCTCGTTCTGCGCTGTAAGATTTTGTAAAGTAAATCTCAGCGACTGATTAACTCCTTATCCACATGTTATTTGCAACATAACATCGGTGGATATCAAAGTACTTTTCCAATAAACACTTTATTGGAAAGTCCTGTAGCTCAATGTGGAGTCCTGTAGCTCAGTGGTTAGAGCACTCACTTTGCAAGTGAGAGACCTGAGTTCAATTCCAGGCAGAGGGCGAAACCTTGGGCAAGTTTCCTTACTCCACACAGAGCCTAATAATAATCCTCCAAACCAAAAACAATAATAAATTGGTCATTTTCAACCCACGACTGTTTGTGGGACATTGCTGTGCGCAATTGGCTGCCGCGTTCGCCCACAAATATACAGTCAATTCACTTTACAGTTTGTTCTGTGAAGCACTTTGGGACGTCCTCCCGACGTGAAAAGTGCTATATCAAATGCAAGGATTATTATTATTATTTATTTACCACAATGTCTGCGCTCCTTTACATTATTGTCTGGGTCTGTGGCAGCGTCAGATTGATGTGATCAGGAGCCCCCGGCTCCTGAAATTTACCGCACACACCATTTGCACATGAAATGATTGAAATCTATACAAAAAGTGTCAAGGACTTAAAGAGAACGACCACTGCAAAGCAATGTTGTTGACTGAAAAATGATGGTTCAATTTCCAAGATTGCTCAGGAGATTGAATCCACAGATGTCATCAAATCAATCCAGTTTTCTTTTAAAAAGAGTCACTATTTTCCTCATCGCCACTGAAAGCATTTCTCCAACGGGTAAGACTTTAAATATATCATCTTATTCATTATGACTGCAGGAAGCAACTGTGGTGCAGACTCAAGCAGACAGTGGTGGGAACACGACAACAACAACAACAAAATTACATTTGTATAGCGCCTTTCACGTCAGGAGGAAGTCCCAGTGTGCTGGACAGACAGAGTTAGGGACCCGAGCTGTGGATCGGGGTGGGGGAGGGTGGAGGGCAGGGGGGGGGAAGCAGGGAGTTCGAAAGCACGGTCGAAGAGGAGGATCTTGAGGTGGGTCTTGAAGGTGGCGAGTGAGGGGGCGAGGTGGAGGGACTGTGGGATGGAGTTCCAGACGGTGGGGGCAGAGTGGATGAAGGCCGACCGCCGATAGTGGGGCGAGCGAGGTGGGGGACGTGAAGCAGCCCGGAGCCCGCTGAGTGATGGGGTCACGGAGCCTGGTGGGGGAGAGGACACGGGCTGCAGAATTCTGGATGATCTGCAGCGTGTGGAGGGAGGAGTTGGGGGCCGACAAGCAGGGAGTATGCATAGTGGAGCCTCGATGTACAGACACACGCAGACAGTGGTGGTGGAGATACAAGCAGTCAGTGGCGTTTAATACTTAAAGTAACTGTTGATTTTACTCTGTTGGCTTATTTGCCTTTCTAGCGCTAGGATTTTGAATCCAGTTAGTTTTAAGCAGACAAGTATACCAAACATATATAACAGAAAAACAAGCAGATAATAAAGCATTAAATATAAGCTATTAAACCACTCTCCTCTCTTCAGCTCTCACCCTGTACCGGCTCATCAGATGGTAAAATCATTTTCCACATAAATGTGCTGTAACTTCTGCAAGTTCAAAATTCTAGCAAATAAAAAGTAATTTGTGTCAAAACTACACAATTTAGGATTTGTTTTGTGGAAACCACAAACAAGACCTGTCTAACTGCATAATCCACACTGAAGAATGCACCTTCGTTTCTGAAGAATATCCTTATCTATTGCAACATCAGCAGATGTTATGTACTCGAGGAGTAGAAACCAAAGTTAAGACTTAACCTCAGCTACAAAGCAATTAAACACATTCGCTCCCTTAACACAAGCCTTTCCCCCATTCTCCCCTTCGCTCGTCTGTTTGGCATGGTGAACTGTTCTCATGTCTTTGCTTAGAAGGAACTCAAATTCTATAGGGTAAAATGACAAAGTCTATAGTCGATAGGGCTGAACTTGGTGTAAATTAGAAAATGTCATTAGATTATATTCTGCTTGAAGTGAGAAAACCTTGTTTGTCTTTGTTACCTGGTGTCCCGGGTTCCAGATGGCACTGCTGACAGAGCAGTGTACATGGCGAGCTGAGAGTTTAACAGACGCCTTGATCTACAGTTCCCTGCCCTGCCTGCGCCTTGGTTTGCTTGGGTTAGTTTGTTCCACATCACTTTCCAAAACACCCGTTTCCCTCAAACTAAACAAGCCCTTGCCACCTCTTCCCAGGTCACAAGGTATCAAAGCGGCTGAGCAATGGAGAAGGACGTCAGGTGTGAAAGAAAAGTAATAATTCCTCCCAACAATGCAGACTATAATTTTATTATGATCTTCATATTTATTATGACTAGGAATACCTTGAACACACAAATACTTCCCCTTGAATTTCTTCCCCTTTCAAGTCGCCTGGTCAGCCAGGGAAGTGAATTGCATTAACACCGTGTGTTTACTTACCCTCGGATACTCAAATCTCTCAAAGAGGAAAAATAGAGATTCTCTCAAAAGAGGAAAAAGATACAATTACATATATTTGCAAAAGCAATAAAACGTGGCTTCAGTAGGCTAGATGATTCAGAATCATATTTCATATCATACCTTTTGGGATTAGTTTAACAAAAGAGAAAATCTCACTATTGTCATTCCGCTTTTTAAAGTTAGTCAGGTACAAAGAATTATCATTAAGCTGAACATCCTTTTATTTAGCTGCGCAAATGTTGAGTACTGTATTTTGGTAAATAGCAACAGCTGGCTGCATCGGGAGGAGATGGATTTGTGGTTGTAATTCTGAGCAAAATGGTGTGGAGCAGGATTCATATTCACAACTGAATGAAAACATAGTTTTTAGATCTCAGGGGTTCATGTCATCTTCCAAACACCTTCATTCAGATGCCAGGTCCAGTGAGGCCTGAGAACACATCCCTGTGTGTGAAACTAAGATTGAGGAAAAGGGGAGTTTATCAGAAGAAAAGGACCTTCAATTAATCATTCTTTGTAACTGATTATTTTTGAAGACTAGACACAATGTTAAGACTTCGGATTTCACTCAATTACCAACAGTGCTTTCCTTCAAAGGCTGTTTCAAGTTAAATGCAATGCAATCTTCTTCTCAAACTTGTATGCCTCACTTACTCAAGTTTTTGTATTATTACAAATGTGTGTGTGTATAAACATCGGAATTAAGTATATACACGCACACATATATATGTTATGAAACTTAAAAACATAATAATGTCGTACATTCTGAGCCACAGGCTGTCATACTAAGTCATAAAATGAACTACAATCACCGAGGGATGTCTGGGAAAGTGTTGGATACATCAAAGATAATAGCAGCTCATCAATTCAAATGATTATTAGCAAATAAACAGAACATAATGTTGAATCATGAAAACTTAATCAATCTCATCATCTTCGTCGCTCAGGAAATCATCCTCTTCTTCAAACTCAATACGTTGGAAAAGCCTTTAAGATAATCAGAAAAGAATATCAACAGCCAAATACTTCATGTGATTCAAGCCTCAACACACTCACTATCGTGTAGTGAATTCAGAATAATGACCGTGTGTCCCACAACTATTCCGATCAAATCTTTTGGAGTGCTGGGTAGAGGAGTGAGTTAGTTATTTCCTTCACACCATTCTTTCATCATTATAATTGTAAACATTTAAAATTATTACATTTATAATAATTATAATTTGACCAGTAACAAACCTAAAATCAGCAAATTATCAGATTAGCACAAATAGTTTACAGGCAATTTAAATCCAATTATGAAGTAAAGCTATTTCTAAAGAAACTTACTCATTGAAGCAGGGCGATAAAGGATCGCTGTAGTGGCCATATGGATTGGCTCTCGACAGTGAAGTTAGGCAGAGCCAGCAGAAGTATCCCTTACAACCAGTGCACATCATCTTATTGCATCCATTCTCCTTCTGCAACAGAACATGAAAAAACCGTCATTAGACAGGAACTGAATGGTTCAGTATTATATTATTATTATTATTCAAGCACCAATTAATAAATTCTGCCTTGGCACAGGATTCTCACATGGCATCACATGGTATGCCCTCAACCTCAGGAAGAAGTGTAGGGGAGAAAGGGTCAGGAGACAGGAGCTCCAATATATATCACCACCGCGCAGCTCCAATAATATTGTAACATTTGGAGGTGTAGAGTAGAGCTGCCACAGTGATCAGTGATATGACATTCATTAGATCAGCCACTGTATCTTCTCATTTCAGATGCTGTAACAAGGGATTAAGCATTTTCACACATTAAGGGACGTTAAACAATGAGAAGGTTACGCAGAACTAACACCAGATCCCTTAAATACTTATGCTCTGCAGATTCAGAAGCTTTAGCTTTGCTTACCAATAATAATAAGAAATAGAATAATCGTTGCGCTTGTTTTTGCACATTTCCTGTCGGGAGGATGTTGCAACCCGTGTTTCAGAGTTTTACTGTGAAAGGGAGAATGGAGTGACTGTGTATTTCTAGGCGAATGCAGCAGCCCAGAGGCACACAACAATGCTCCACAGACAGCCATGAAACGAATGACCAATTTTATTTTGGGGGACTGTTGGCCAGGACATTGGGAGAAACTCCTTGTCAGCCCTTATAAATAAATAATAATAATCCATGCATTTGATATAGAGCTTTTCACGTTTTCGAGACGTCTCAAAGCGCTTCACAGAATATTCAAGTGAATTAACTGTATATTTGTGGGTGAAACGCGGCAGCCAATTGAGCACAGCAGCGTCCCAGACTGTCATGGATTGAAGTGACCCAATTTATTATTTATTTTATATCTTTTTCTTGAGGGATTATTATCAGGCATGTGGCGTAAGGAAACTTGCACAAGGTTTCGCCCTGCAGGGAATCGAACCCAGGCCTCTAGCTTGCAAGGTGAGTGCTCTAACCACTGAGCTACAGGACTCCTTGGTGTGCACATAAGGGCTAATCCTGCACAAGTCCACAACAACAACAATTTGCATTTATATAGTGCCCTTCATGCAAGGCAGCATCTCAGAGCGCTTAAGTCTACTCCGAATGTAGGCTGAACAAGGAGACATTGATTTTCTGAACAGGCAGAATCTACACTTTGTCAAGGCTTTCAGTAACACAGATAGACAGACAGCTTCGTTCATTAGTTTGATCAGCAGCTGAATCAGACTAAATTGCCTTGTGATACCACTTCGATCTTAAACAACACACATACATTTGCCTGATTGACAGGTAAGAAGAATCCAGAGTCAATGAGAGACAGGGTGAGGAGGCACATCCCTCAGACTCTATCACATCAGCAGAGGTAGTTTAGCCTTAAACATTTAAGAGAAACTCTTCACTGACCTGAATGGCTGTGCAGCATCGCGGGCAGGGCTTTGAGTTCTTCTCCAGCCACTCTTGACTGTGCAATTCCTCCATTGCTTTCTCAATCACTCGGCGTCCATACCGCTGTTCCAAAAGCTTTCTGCCGGCTTCGTCTACTTGTAAATACTCATCTTGCAGCTCAGCAAGCTTTTCTGAAAAGAAAAACCATTTGGTTTTCGCTTCAAGTATAACGTCAGAAATCCTTTTATCATTTCTTCGGCTCTTCTCCCTTTTCAAGCAGAATCAGTGAAAACTAAATCTCCCCTTTGACATTTCCACTCATACTCCTCTGCTATTCCTTCCAATCTTGCTGATGTACTTAATTTCTCCCTCAATCTTTAATTCCTAGCCATTCTTTCTGTTTCCTTCTGTAGCTGATCCCTTTCGGTCCATTACCACCTCACTAACCCCATTCTTTGTCCCCTAATTCTGTTTCCAAAACAGTGTTTTATTTCTTTTCAACAAGTTTCCCCAAATGAATTGTTTTCAACAAAAAAGTACAACATAAATAAGGGATTTTGGTTACAAATAAAAGTCAGATCTCATTTTATAAAATAAATCTGTAGATTAAATATACTAAAAATGGACCAACGGCTTTACGTTTGACACCTTGGTTAGGGCTGCTCTCCAGGGAATGACAATGTTTTCAGAAAGAATGTGATCAGTTTAAGTGGTTATGCAGAGCTTGGGCAGGCTGGCATTGCCAAGTCCAGTACATTTCAACAACAGCTGACATTTATATAGCGCCCCAATACAGGGCAGAGTGCCAGAGCGCTCGACAGTGGCAGAGCACGACGCCGAGTCTGGGGGAGGTCGAAGAGAAAGGTCTTCAGGTACGACCTGAGATGGGGAAGGTGGTGGGATAGAGGAAGAGTGTTCCAGAGTTTCAGGGCGTAGTGGCGGAAAGTGCGGCCACCGATGGTGGAATGGAGGGAACAAGGGAGAAGCAGGAAAGCATCGCCCACAACCTAGTAAACAAGGAAAACATGCACTTCATTCCTACAGCAACAACAATGCATCAGGACCTTTTGGTTTAAAATACGCTGGAGAATTCAAGCAAGTTCTTACCTGCTTTTAACTTGCATGGGGAAACCGCATGGTAAGTCATTTTACATCGTGCACAAAAAGCATAACGGCATCCCGGGCAAACTCCCATGGTGCTGCCAAGCTCAAGCATCACTGGTGATTGGCAACTGGTTCGAGGGCAATACATCACGTCTGCCATGAGATCCAATGATGACTGAAGCAGAAGACGGTCGTACCGGGCAAACAGCTCATCCTTAACAAGCTCCTTGACCTGCGGGGATGGAAGTCAAGTCAAGCTGTAAATGTGGACTCGGAAATCTCTGGAGTACGAATAAAATCTTCAGTAATGTTTGTGTAATTTCTTAACAGAGGGATAAGAGGGATAGAATATATATTCTTGCCGCTAATCTACACAGTGTCTTGCTTACAAAATTCCCGCTTCCAAATAAGGGGAGTCAATTTTATGTATTAATCACCAACACAGGATTCGGAAGAGGATAATCAGTAATTGGTATTCAGGAATCACTCTGCTTATGATAGAATTGCTAATAATGCAAAAATCAGCAAATTCATTTCTATCAGAACATTAGCTTTTGCAAATGGCTGTGGAAGACCAGAGCACAGTGTAGCGCACGGCAGCCAGACCCTGGTCTCTCCACCAAACCTGAGAGAAGGGAAAAGCAATGGGGTTTGAAGTGTAACCAATAGTAAAAAGAAAAATATTAAATGGAAGTGATCTGTTCCTTTATAAAGTATATATTGCTTCATTTTTAAATATCTGTTTGAAAATATTCAGTGAATAATTTAATATTTTTCCCAAACTGAAATAAGCATCAAGGAGCGTTATTCAAACATATTCATCGGGACTCAATTCCTATTGGTATCTTCAAAAGTTTCTGCAAGACTGGCCCATATAAACAATAGATACACAAGGATTTAGCAAATTTATATTAGTTCAGCTAAGGTTCGTGAGAAGCCTCAGTGATATACGGCACCTATTAAAAAAAGATAGAATTCTAAAACTTGATTGTAGGCCTGTAAACACTATAGGTATTTTTTTTAAGACTCATAAGGGCTGTAAACTACAAAATGGGTTTCTTTATTTGATGTACATTTTATTCAAATAGAATGAATAAGACTGTACCACACATGAAAAGCGCTATTATAAATGCAAGTTGTTGTATTTTTGGTTAATTTTGGTCTCAGAATGTGAGAGGCTCCGATGCTAATCCTGGAAAATGTCAGTGAAGAATTCAATTCCAAAAAGAAGCTGTGGAACATTAATGGGACACTCAGCATGTACAATAAACACATGAATCCAAAGCCCTTACCTGAGCAGGTATGGCAACAGAGGCACATTTTGGCTCCGGACAATTGAGGCACTGAACATTGCCGTCCCTGATCTGAATCTCAAAATATTCTTTCAAACAAGCCTTGCAGTGTACGTGCTTGCACTCCTTAAAGTACATGCTGTCAATTCCCAGCTTTTCGCAGAAACAGATGTTACACATGAACATCTTTCTGTTAAAAGTTTTCTGTTGTTGGTTTTGATCAAAGTCCAAGATTTCACGTAAAACGCCAGCCCACGACTCCACATCCTGGACAGCCCTCTGGTCCAGGGGAAATTCTTTTAAATCCTGTATTTCATCCTGTTCTTTCTTCTTGTTAATGGACAAAATAGAGTCCACTCTGCCTTTATTATTAATTTGGATTTCCAACGGGGATTTGATAAACAGGAAAGGCAGCGTCTCTTCTTTTAAGAACTGCATCCAGGAAAATAGCACCACATTTCTATGGTTTTCTTCCCACAGATTGTCCAAACGGCTACAAAGAATAGAGAGCTGTTGGGAATGACAGGAATGCGGGTAAGCAAACAAATTAGGATGAAAAGTAGGAAAACAGGAAAAAAGATGTACAGTCAGCAACATAAAGAAAGGAGGCATCTTGGTGATTTCTAAGAGGATAGTAGGAGCAACCTAAAGAAGGATGGGTACTCCCTTGATTGGATTGTTGTGATACTCTCACAGATTTTATTTTAAGATACAGTGCGAATTTTAATAATGTTTGATATTTTAAGGCAGGACTTTAAGACACACTTAAGGGGGGAGGGGGGGAGAGATGGAGGAGTAAAAAGAGGGAGTTCATGAAGTTCTACTTTTACTTTTCTACACAGATTTTAAAGTAGAATTAATTTACATTTAAAATCATCATAGTGGGTGGACCTTTAAACTTCTACTCCTCAAAGCAGAGGATTGCAGATGAGCTTTTGTTAAGAACAATAGGTGACTGCCAGTGACGATGCAATAAATAGGAATTAGAAGCAGGAGTAGGCCATTCAGCCCCTCGAGCCTGCCCCGCCATTCAATAAGATCATGGTTGAACTTCTAACCTAACTCCAGCTGCCCACCTTATCTCTTATCCCTCTATCCTTTAGAACTCTATCAATCTCAGTCTTCAATATGTTCAAGGACTGAGCATCTACAACCTTCTGGGGTAGAGAATTCCACAAATTCACTACTCTTGAGTGAAGAAGTGTTTCCTCAACTCTGTTCAAAAGGGAAAATATCTCTGGAAATAGATTTTTAAAGTCAGCAGAGCAGATATTGATATTACGTGGCTGGCTTTGATGTTACTGTCAGACTAGTATGAGGTTTTTAAACTTGAAAAATGTAGCCCCCAAAGAATTCAGTTGAATGCGCTTTCTAATCTTGTTATAATGTCAAGGTGATGTACCAATAAAATTATGCTTTTTACATAGATGTTAAAATGTATTTTTCAGCGTTCCCTGGGATTGCCTTAAGGGGATTACGTTCCTCTAAAACTATTGATCGTTTCAAAGAAAACTCCAGCAAATTAGAAGGAAGTGCTTCATTGCAAACCTGAGATTGAGAAAGCCACTTGCAGCTCAGGGTATATTGAGGAGCTGACGTTGATGGATAGTCTGGAAGAAGTTCAAAGTTCAGCACAAGAGGTGGCAGAAAAGAGATGGAGTATTCAAGAGGTTCATTCTTTTCATCACCTGAATCAAGAAAATAATTAGTCATTTTGGCAATATTTTTACTTGCTAATCCTTTATGTACTTCAAACCTTGAAATTACAGAATTCAGGGTAAGAAAGGGCCATTTGAATGTGCAATCTTCAGGTCTGTACACCTATTACCCACCAGGCCATTGAGATGCTGATTTTTATTTTTTTTCCACATTCTATACTTTATTTCTATGGTGATAGTTTAATGCAAACTATTGAGGCATTATATATAATAATAGACAGTAGCTGGCAAAACAGACATCATTTTTAAATTTAAAACACAGGCTCAGACCTACCGCTGACCAGTATTTTGAAGGCTGCCGGCAAGTCTACGCAAATGCTTATTTCTCCCCCCTGAGCAGATTCAGCACGTTTAAACCCATCTTCATCATAAATACTAGCAACAGCCAGCAGCTCGTCCTCTTGTTCTTCTTTATCTTTGGAGGACATTTAGATTCCTGGAAATAACACACATTTTACAATAAGTCGAGGTAAATTCTACCCTGGGCTGCAAGTGGCTTTATCGAGTTCAGGTTTGCAACCCATTCTTTTTGGGTATTAATGCTATGGAATTTTCATCGAATGTGCCCCAAATTAAAATCCCAGGAAGCATCACATATTATAACATCAAACACCCCCCCACCCCCCAGCGCGACCCGACCCCCCACAGTGAAAGCCGAGGGTCAATCAGTGGAATGACATCACAAAGGTCAGATCTGGTGGCCATCAGGAAAAACATATTCACATTGACTTATAGCTCAGTGGTTAGAGCGCTCACCTCACAAGCGAGAGGACTCGGGTTTGCTTCCCGGGCAGCCAAAACCTTAGGCAAGTTTCCTTACTCCACACGCCTCTGTTTATCCAGCAGTAAGTAGGTTGTTAGACCATTGAACAATCGCTTTTTCGAGGGTAATGATTCCTTAAAAAAATTAGAAAATAATAATATTAATAATTTGGTCACTCAATCAACAACTATTTGTGGAACGCTGCTATTTGCAAATGGCTGCTGCGTTTCGCCCACAAAATATACAGTCAATTCACTTTACAGTATATTCTGTGAAGTGCTTTGAGACATCTCAACAATGTGATAAGGTGCTATATCAAATGCAAGGATTATTGTTATTATCATATTTTAAAAGCACAGACAGGCTCACAAATTGACAGTTTCTGAAGATATAATCATTGCAAATCCAGGTAGTTTGCTTTCTGGCAGTAATCAAATCCTGCAAAACACGAACCACCAAAGCACTATGGTAACAGTCATGCTTTGCCGCGCTCACCTTTACTACACTTTCACATGTGTCATGGTAACTCTAAACAAACTGTGTCCTCTCTCCATTTCAGCCGGAAAAATCAAAAGGTATATCAAATTGAAAAACTTGGTTTGGATTTCTTGTGGTTCAGGATATCATAGGACTAACGCCATGGCGGAATCAATTGCTATTCCTACATCTTCTATCTTCTTCGTCTATACTATTGTCTATCTACGCTGCAAGAAGGATCTCAATAACCGATTGACATAGAGACATGATTTATAACTCATTGGAAAAGTCTTGCAGCTGGGAGCGACGACGTTACATCTTGGTGGCCACGCCGGCTGACACCGTGGTGCTGCGGCATTCTGCTTCACAGTGCACACATGTAGCCAAGAGACAGGAACAAAATAAAGAACACAGACGGAGCTGAGCAGAGTCCACAACAAAATTACATTTTTAAAGCGCCTTTCATGTCAGGAGGACATTTATATTGATCATTATAAAGCTGCCTAAGCAAAAATCAAACCTTTTAGGAATAAGTAAAAAAGCTAGACAAAAGAGAGAAGGCCCATTAAATAAAACTGAAGAACAAAGAACAGCTCGGCTGCACTTCAATGCTGAAAGCGCGGCCAAAATGAGTTGCCCGCTCCCAGATGAGTATAGATAAAGATGAATTGTCTGTCTGTATGTCAATCTACATTCCATATTGGATCCTGTGGTTGCAACCGAAGCTGCAACGAGTACAGCTGATTGATTCCTAACTGTAGAGAAAAACAGTATAATTTTGAACAATGCATAGGACAGTGAATGGGACAGAGACTTGTTCAGTTATTCTGCACCAGGGCAGTCGGGAATGGTCGGTTCAACACAATTCCACATATTGGGAATGATGATTGGAGTCTATTCCTCTCCCAATCAGAAGGATTCAACCCAGATTGTGTTTGTGTGGCCCGGATCTGGGGATATAAGGTCAGAGATCAACTCCACAGTAACTGCCTCATAAAACGCAATTCATGTCCAATATCTTATTGACAAAAGGTCGTGGACCCGAAACGTTGTCTCACTTTCCTTTCTCCACAGATGCTGCCTGACCGCTGAGGGTTCCCGGCGCTCTCTCTGTTTTTGTTCCAATATCTTATGTTTGGATGAAATCCACTTTTATGTCACAAGCGACAGTCACTACAGTCAGCGCTTAGTCCTGCAATACCGCCGCCGCCCAGCAGAGGCCGACTGTGGCTTCTCAGGAGCCCAATCCTCGCCACAATAACAAAGATGATGATCCGGGTCTCGGGGCGGATCGGGTCCGAAGACAAACTCCGGGAGTCACTGACGGCGACAGAGACCGGACCTGAGTCGGGAGGCCTCGAGGCTCCGCTTCAAACCAACCTTTCCCACGGGAAATTGACTTTTTCCCTCATTTATTACATAAACTTCCAACACACAAATAACCACAAGAATAAAAATTGTTATTACTGACTGAGCTCAGTGACGCCGTCCGCCGGCTCGCCGCCCAGCAGCCCCTTCAGTGACGAAAAACGCAGAAAGCCGAGCGGAGGGTGACGTAAAGCACAGAAAGCCGAGCGGCCATGATGATGTTAACACAGAAAGCCGAGCGGCCATAATGATGTTAACACAGAAAGCCGAGCGGCCATGATGACGTATAGCACACAAAGCCGAGCGGCCGAGATTGATTACGTGTGTGAGCTGCAGAGGCGCCGCTGCTCACACTCGCCTCGCGCTGCTCCTGCTCACACTCACTGCCCCCCTCCCCGGTCAGTCAGGCGGCGGAGCCGCGAGCCCCGGGATGTCGGTTGTCGGCTTTGATGTGGGTTTTCAGCAATGCTACGTGGCTGTAGCGAGAGGCGGCGGCATCGAGACTGTGGCCAACGAGTACAGCGACAGGAGCACCTTGTGAGTGAGGGGGGGCCCGGAGGCAAACCACGCGAGGACCGGCGCCTGAGGCCTAACGAACCCCCGCGCGGGCACTGCCCCATCCCCCATCCCCCGCGGGCACTGCCCCCCCCGCGGGCACTGCCCCCCCCCCCGCGGGCACTGCCCCCCCCCGCGGGCACTGCCCCCCCCCCGCGGGCACTGCCCCCCCCCCCCGCGGGCACTGCCCCCCCCCCCCCGCGGGCACTGCCCCCCCCCGCGGGCACTGCCCCCCCCCGCGGGCACTGCCCCCCCCCCGCGGCACTGCCCCCCCCCCCGCGGGCACTGCCCCCCCCCGCGGGCACTGCCCCCCCCCCGCGGGCACTGCCCCCCCCCGCGGGCACTGCCCCCCCCCCGCGGGCACTGCCCCCCCCCCCGCGGGCACTGCCCCCCCCCGCGGGCACTGCCCCCCCCCCGCGGGCACTGCCCCCCCCCCCGCGGGCACTGCCCCCCCCCGCGGGCACTGCCCCCCCCCGCGGGCACTGCCCCCCCCCCCGCGGGCACTGCCCCCCCCCCGCCCGGGGAGGTTGAGGAGTTTAGATCCACAGTGAGTGAGTGAAGACACTGACGGGAGCCGAGGAGTATGGCTTCCGTCGTCCACATTCGTCCGCAGGAAATGTATACTGATCCCAGGCCCTGTGGTGTCTGCCAGAGAGCGGACAGTAAATTGGGGGAACCTGGAGCTGGTGCCGGGGGCGAAGTAGATGTGTGTCATCCGTAAACCTCATCCAGAAGAGGTTTACCCCGTGTCGGGATGACATCGCCCAGAGGGAGCAAATAGATAAGGCAAAGAAGAGGCCAAGGATGGAGCCCTGAGGTCACCCCGCAGGTGACTGGGCTGAGGCGGGGGTGGAGGGGGGGGGGAGCCATTTGACGAGATGAAATGGAGGCGGTTGGTAAAGTAGGATTACTCCTGTGGATATTAAAGATCTCACGTAATATTTCAAAAGAAAAATGGACTTTCTCCCAGTGGGCGTTGTTATCTGCAAGTGGCTGCTGCATTTGTTACACAAGTACTTGTCAGCAATTCTCTGAAGTCTTTTAAGACTTTTCTGTGTTTCAGCAAAGGTATCAGATGAGAGGATTGTCATTTTGCACAATGTAAAATAACACTTTGTTAAGAATGCAGTTACATTTAGAAGCCTGAAAGGTACATTCCCATCCAGGTTTAGCAGAACAGAAAATCTTGATTTTTGAGCTAAATGGCACCTGGTTTACTGCAGTATTTTCAGAGGGCCGTTTGCTGTAGGCTCTTCAGTGGGTGGTTCAATGCAGTCCTGCAGAAAAGTTCAGTTAATGCAGTCTTTACATTGCCCTCAGCTTGCACTTGTGGAACTATGTATCTGACTTGGAAATGTTCAGTACGGAAATCTGTCAATAGAATTTAATCAAAAATGTTGTTTACAAACTTTACTGCTCGTTCATGAATAATTTGGGAGAACTGATGAGCCAGAAAATAGTCTGCTTTCATGAAAGTCTGACTGTTCAGCGCTTTGGGACGTCCTCCTGACGTGAAAGGCACTCTACAAATGTAATTTTGTTGTTGTCTTAATGTTCGGTGTGTCCTGAATTCCTAGCTTGCCAGTTTAGCTTGTGCTATCTATTCTGCCTATCTAACCCCACAAGCAGCAGGGTCAAATCAACCAACAGCCAAGCTACTCTCAGTTTATCCAGTGACCTAAATGTTCAGGGCTTTGAGGTTATTGTCTAAGCTGATATTTCATTGTGGAGGTTGTTATCCTGCAAGTAAGATGAGATCCCATTTGTAAGTTCAGGTGGATGTTAAAGGTAAAAGAGAAGGGAGTTTCTCCCAGTGTTCTGGTCAATAATCCCCTAAATAAAATTATTTGTTCACATCATGGCTGTTTGTTGGGCATTGTGCAATTGGTTTCCGCAATAGTCCGGTTGCTGCAGTTTACAGAAATTCCAGGTGACACACTTTGAGACACCCTTTTTTTCCCCCGCTTTTCTGTTCTTAGCTTTCAAATGCTCTGTCTGTGGCTAGAAAGGTTCACGGTAAGAAGCAAGAGTAGTTACCACTTCTTTTTGATTGCAGATCTTGCGTGTCCTTGGGACCCAGGAACCGTTCAATTGGAGCTGCAGCCAAAAGTCAGGTAAGAATAGGTCAATTCAGAAGTCCAACCTCAGTTTTGAGTAGCTATGTCTTTCACCAAATATTCAAGAGCAAAAGGTTTCTGGAACATGCTTTGAGAAGTGTGTGAAGTCTTCATGCATCAGACCATATCTAATTTCGAAGCAGCAGGGTCAAATCAACCAACAGCCAAACAAGAAGGCATGGTATTTTGATATGTAGAACTTTAAGTTTTGAGAGTTAACCTGTCCTAGTTGCTATTATCAACACACTGTTTAGCTTTCAGTTAAATTTAATCTGATTATAGTATCAGAACTGATCAACTCATTCAATTATGAATAGCATTCTGTAAAATGTATTTGTGTGAAACACAATTTCTTATTTCACTTGGGAAGTGTTTGATTTAAAACAATTATGTTTTTAGATGGGAAGGATCAAGATTGAATTTTCTGTGTTGTAGATTGTGTCTAATGTGAAGAACACGTTACAAGGATTTAAACGGTTTCATGGCCGGGCTTTTACAGACCCCGTTGTTCAGTTAGAAAAAAACAACCTTCCATATGAGCTCATCCAGATGCCCAATGGTACAACTGGTGTCAAGGTTCGTGCAGTTTTACTCTGTTGTTCCTCCAGACGTGAAAGACGCTATACAAGTGTACTTTTGTTGTTGCTTTGAATCTAATTCATTACAAAAATGAAATGTTACCACTTTCTTTTGAGGGGGGATTGACAGGGTAGCTTTGGGGTTTGAAGTGACAATCCTTATCCTCATGAGCACACTTGAGAGTTCACATTCTTGAACTCAAAATGATCTATCGTACAATAGTACAGACTTTGGATCAAAATAGTTTTTTTTGTGGAATTTAGGGTGTTACGTAAAGATAAATTCTGTACAAAATGTGGTTACTAAGATCAACATTGAGTGATTTTCAAAATTGAAAAAATATTAGGTAGGTATGGTTTGGACATTTAACAGTTTTGTGGACTAACTTGATTTCAATTTGAAAAGGTTTCGTACATGGAAGAAGAGCGGTGCTTCAGCGTGGAGCAGGTATCTGCAATGCTGTTGACTAAACTGAAAGAAACCGCTGAGAGTGCACTGAAGAAGCCGGTGGTGGATTGTGTAATCTCAGTAAGTAATTGTGAGACTATTCATGTTATGCCCTGCATCCTTCATGCATTTTGCAGCAAAATGTGCAGTATTTATATTTGGAATCTTTGAGATATTTTTTCTTTTGTACCTTTGTCCCTCTTCCGTCCTAATCCACAGATTATCCTTAAGAATTAATTTAGGAGAGAGAGGCTTTTCCATTGACTTTCTACATGCTGTTTGCAGGTTCCATGTTTCTTCACGGATGCTGAGAGGAGATCTGTAATCAGTGCCGCACAGATTGCAGGTCTCAACTGTTTGCGGCTGATTAATGAAACCACTTCAGGTAACAGTTAAATCTCATTGCATAATGCAGTAAGCATTCTTTAGATAGGGAAAGAAAGAATTGGAATAGTCAGATTCAAGCTGCTGAATTGGCCACAGAACAAATTCTTGTCAAGATTACCAATTAGTAAAGCAGAAAAATGGACATCGAGCCTGGATAATCAACCAAAGAGAATAATAAGTAAATGGGTATGTATTTTATTAATTTAGTCTGGGTTTCAGAAGCTGCTACAGGTGAACGTCTACAAAGGACTGCTAACAGATTTGAAGTTGCATTAAGTGATTTTCCCTTGCTACAGAACACAGTAATATGTGATATTAGGCAATATAACTATGACTGCAAAGATTCTCAGGTATCTACCCTGCCTTCCAGTGAAGGCTCCCAGCAAACTTCCAAACTATGGTGCACATATAATACTACAAATACGGGTGAGGAATTGCGAAAAGTTCAGTGATATGTATTTTCCAATATTCAACAGGAATGCTCAGTCTGGTCTTGCTACTATTACAAACAGATTCATGTGGGGTAGCATCTCTCACTGCTTAAATAAATAAAATGGGAGTGATTACATTTGGTTGTTTGAAGAAGTAAGCTTATGTGCTAATTGTCTTACTCCATGATAATTATGAAAATAAGTGAGAATTTTGGAAGCCAGAAAGGCCTTTGGTAACAAAATAATTAATAAGGTTTATTTTGCTCCACAATGTTATGTTGCAATGTTTTTTGCTGATACAATACAAACTTGCTTTCTCTGGAGCCTGGTGTAATTGAATCTCTTGCTTTTATGTGCAGTCGCTCTGGCTTATGGAATATACAAACAAGATCTACCAGCCCCTGAGGAGAAACCAAGGGCAGTTGTTTTTGTTGATATGGGACACTCTGCATTTCAGGTTTCTGTCTGCGCGTTCAATAAGGGGAAGTTAAAGGTAAACACGTGTTGGAAAAAGTAGCTTGTGATATGTATGTGGGATCTTATTATTACTTTAAAATAAGGATGTAGACAAGCTGGTTACTAAATTTCTAACTCATACAATGCTAATTACTTAAAGAAGGGGGGAATTAATATTGAAAAATGCAATGTTACACATATTACACAAAGTGTTATTGTGATTCCACGAAGATTGGGAGAAAGCAGGTTATCAATATTTTAACCAGTTTTCAGCTTTTTTTAAAAAACTTTTATGGCTTATTATTACAATTCTTACACCCAGTGCCATTTAATATAACATAAGTTTGTTCTTTTCTAGGTCCTTGCAACTGCTTTTGACCCTTACTTGGGTGGACGGAACTTTGATGAAGTGATAGTAAATCACTTCTGTGAGGAATTCAGCAAAAAGTACAAACTAGACGTGAAGTCAAAGATGCGAGCTTTAGTGCGACTTTTCCAGGAATGTGAGAAGCTAAAGAAACTAATGAGCGCCAATGCCTCCGATCTCCCAATTAATATTGAATGCTTCATGAATGATATTGATGTATCTGGAAAAATGAACAGGTAAAAAAAACATTGAAGTCGCAGGACCTTGCTCTCATAACTCATCAAAGGGCTCTAACGATACTGTGCTTCATATGGTCTCCGATCTTAACTGCCTCCAGACTTGAAAACGATCCTTATTAAGAACATTTTATTTCTTAACTAGAAACATCCCACTGTTTTGAGTTATGCCACTGAAGGAGATGTACTGAAAATTCAGGCAAATAATAGTGGAATGTGCATGAACATGTCATAGAACAATTAGACGTCAGGCATAGATAACAAACAATCCCATAATTAAAGCAGAATCAAGCAACTTTGTTTAGACCCCAATAGCTCCCGGCTCCATGACCCCTGGCTCAAGGACACAGTTTCCATTCTTGCTACTTGGACGGCTCCAATCTCAACAGATCCTCCTCCACCACACAGTGTGTTACAGTAGAATAAAATCATGTGTTTTGTTTTGGAAGTCATCACTTCTGTGTTGCCAAATGGTATCAATTTTGCTGTATTCCTCCGCTCAGCCGGCTCTGGCCTGCTCCACGTCCCCCGCCCCACCATTGGTGGGAGAGCCTTCAGCCACTCTGCACCCAACCTCTGGAATTCCATCCCCCCCAGTTACTCCGCCTCGCCCCCTCCTTAGCCTCCTTCAAGTTTCGCCTCAAGACCTTCCTCTTCAACCATGCCATTGGCCACCCCCCTTCCCCTCCGCTCCCTTCCCCACCCCCCAACCCCAGCTCAGGTCTGAAATGCTGTACTCTGTCCAGCGTCTTGGGATGTCCTCCCGATGTGAAAAGCTCTATACACATGTAATGTTGTTGTATTCACATCAAGGCGAGTTCCAAGTGGCAGCTTCTGGATAAGATAGTGAAGCTATTCTAAGATCCTGCAACGTCAAAGGTCAAGTGCTCTGATTGTTCCAAGACTTTAGAAAATGGTCTTGTTCTCCATAGGTGGGCTGCTTGATGGGCTTATGCTGTTTCAACATAATGTGGTAATTTCACAAAACAGCATCAGTTTTGCTGGAATAAAATTATATTCCTTGTGGTTGTTTAAAAGGGGACAGTTTGACGAGATGTGTGCTAGCCTGTTGGCCAGAGTGGAGCAGCCTCTTCGAAGTATCCTGGAACAAGCCAGTGAGTAAACAAAATGATTCATAAAAGTAAACCTTTTAGATCATTAAGTGCTAGAAATCACTGGGGCTTGCTATTTTTGTTCACATCACATTTTAAATAGAATTGCTTATTGTGGTTTCTGTTACCAAGTTATCTCTTATTTTTTGTAATTGCTGCTTTATTGAAAATATCAGCTGTCTGAAGGTCTTACAAACATACAAACAAATAATTGTAGTTCAATTATATATCCCAGCTCAGGTGCAAATCCCTGATGTCCAGCGGTTTAGGACGTCCTCCCGATATGAAATATACAAATGTAATTTTGTATTGTATATAGCGAAAGAACAGTTACAAAACTTAAGAGTCAGTTAATTGGTTTCAGAAATGTACAAAATTGTCAGATTTTTGTGGGACTCTGAACGACTAACAAAGCACATTTCTGATAGGCCCTCATGAATGCATGCTGGATTTTCATTGTTTTTATCCCCATTCCCTTCATATTCCAAAATAGTTTGTTGCCAAAGTGTTACTGTATTTCATTTGGCTAACCATTTTGTTTTGCCCTCGTTGCAGAGCTAAAGCGAGAAGACATTTATGCTGTTGAAATTGTGGGTGGAGCGACTCGTAGCCCTGCCATTAAAGAAAGGATTGCCAAGTTCTTTGGGAAAGATCTCAGTACAACTTTAAATGCAGATGAGGCTGTTGCCCGTGGTTGTGCGTTGCAGGTAAGAGTGTGGATGTTATCTGACATTGTTTTGTTGCTTGCTTTCTCTGTCCTCTTGAATTTAGCATACTCCATTACTTTATTGTAGTCGATACCTATTTGTGATACAAAGCAAAATTGCTTATGTGGTGGACACCAGAAGATAAGATTACAAGAATAACTCAAGTCATTTACTTTCAAAGATCCAAGTATCGGTGATAATTTCAAGAGACAATCTGTCAGTGGGGCTGAGTGCCCAACAAGAGAGAAGTGGAGTTAGAATATTGGGGGGAAGTGGACTTGATCGGCCTCTGGGCATTTTTCTGCTGTTTCTGTTTATTTGCTTTTGAAACAATGGAACTGCCTGAAAGGAGCTAATTCACCACAGTCAGGAGATTGAACCTGCTGATGGATTAGTTGTTGTATTGGTGTATCTGCAGTTTGGTTCCTGTGTACTGTAAGTCATTGAGTTTTAAGCAATGGTGTTTTTTCAATTTTCTTACATCATGGTTTTGTTTTCGGTTTCAGTGTGCTATTTTGTCACCTGCATTCAAAGTGAGGGAATTTTCAATCACAGACTTGGTTCCATTTGCACTCTCTCTGAAGTGGAATTCTCCAGCTGAGGAAGGGCTTGGGTGAGTTGTCTTTTATAGCTTTTGAACCTATTATTCGGAAGCTAGAGAGCATTTCAGATTCCCACATGTATTTTATGCTTCGTTGATATAGTGTGAGATGCAGGAACAACAACAAAATTACATTTGTAAAGCAACTTCCACGTTGGGAGGACATCCCAAGGCGCTGTACAGTCAGTTTCTAACCCGAGCTGGGGATCGTGATTGGAGAGGGTGGAGGGCAGGGATGGGGGAAGCAGGGTGATCGAAAGCACAGAACATTTTGATGCTAAACTGTAATCGTAGAGGATGCAAAGCTGCATCAGTTCTCCTCCCTATAGCGTTGTGTGGTTACTGAGCACTTCCCTTGGCCACCATAATACAACTGTTTGTGGGACGCTGCTATGCGCAAATAGTTGCCACGTTTCGCCCACAAAATATACAGTCAATTCAATTTACAGTATATTCTGTGAAGAGCTTTGAGACGGTATTGGTAGCGTCAAAGCAAACATTTTGCTTCTTAATTGAAGTTTGTTTTATAGAATTCTGAAAAATGCTTTCACACGTTGGAATAATAATTCAACAGATATGCTGACATTAGTGCTCAGTGAGGGGAGTCTGACTGGTATATACAGTCTTTAATGGATTGGAAATTTGGTACAAATGGTGTTGACTGAATTTTTTTTCAATTTCTCTTTTTACAGTGATTGTGAAGTGTTCCCGAAGAATCATGCAGCACCATTCTCCAAAGTCCTCACTTTCTACAGAAAGGAAGCCTTTGATCTTGAAGCATTTTACAACTGTCCCAAAGAGATGCCGTTTCCAGACTCCTATATTGGTGAGATGATGGGAATGATTCATTGTTGTGCGATTAAACGTATGTCTGGATTGAGTTTATCTTTGGCGAATGGAGTGGAAGTTTATTATAAAGATTTTGCCAAGTAAAATGTTCTTTTGTTGGTTCCTCCCCCACCACCACCTTAACTGTAGCAGGTGGTTACAGTAATAGCTAATGTAGTTTTGATACATTTCATAATGTATTCTCTTGTTGATGGGTTACCCAACATGTATAAAAGCAGATTCATTTTAAGGTTTTTACTGTCTCACAGTCTAATTTTGGTTCATGTTTAGGTCGTTTTACGGTTCACAAAGTGGTTCCTCAGGCTGATGGGTTGAGTTCCAAGGTGAAAGTGAAGGTGCGGGTTAACATTCACGGCATCTTCAATGTATCCAGTGCTTCGTTGGTAGAAGTGCAAAAGTCCGAAGAGGCGGACGACACTCCTATGGAAACCGATCTGCAGTCGCAGGCTAAAGAAGAGGAGGTAATGTTGGCTTGTGTTGCTGACCTTGACTCGGTGAGCCTTTCCACGACTGTATTCTGGGTTGAGTCTCTGCCATGGATTGTCTACCTGTGGAAACGTTCACAGTCAAGGAGGACAACAGCATTCCTATGGCCATATGGCTGAAGGTGTTTATTTAAAATGTTCACTTTATTTATCCCAGTCTGTATCTCACTTAAAAGGAAAGAGTGAAGACCTGCCTCTATCCAAAGCTTCCAGTAGGTGCTGTTCCTTACCCGCCAGGTGGTGAAGACGAGCAGTCCAGGGTTGACTTGCTGCTCTATATAATCTTCCTTTTCTACGGGGACACACCTGTTATTGCCCACAATACACATTGGCTCTGTGTATAATTGTGGTTGCTGTTATAACACACCGTAACATCCAGAACCAATCCAAAACTCATCCTGGATTTTAACAAATAATCCTGCAGCTATTAGATTTATTTCAAATAATTACGTATTTAGGCAAACATGAAAGAAAAGATCCAGGCCTGTGCCTCATTGTGTAAGATGATAATCTGTGCTGCAGGCAGGGAGGAATTGTTACATTGCAATTGCCCACAGAAATTATGAACATTGAATGGCCATCCACTCTTCCACACCACCCAGTGTTTGTTTACAAAGAAGAGTTTCCTTGGGCTCCTAGAGTGCAGACAAATTAAAAACATAATGTGGTATGTCCTCTCTTTCTTTCCCTCCCTCTCTTTCTCTCTCTCTTCCCCCCCCCTCCAAAAAATAATAGTTTTATCATATTGTATTAAAGCAATGAATTCATGGATTGCAGAGTGAACTTCTTTCTTCTCTCCAGAATAAGATGCAGGTCGACCAGCAAGAGGAACCCGCTCACGGGGATGGCCTCCAACCCCCGGGATCAGCCGAGGGACAAAAGACTGACCTTGACGAGATGGAGGTAAATGTGGTTCTGTTTCTGTGGGTTAACATCCCCAGTGTCTACGTCGTTACAATAACCTGCATATCATCCAAATATTGCATCTGTGTGAAAAACTTTTGAAAAGATTATTTCTCAGGGTATTTCAAACTTGCACAAAGTGGTGGCCTTCCACAACTCAGCGAATTTATAAATCATATTCCTTTTTGAAAGAAAGTCTTACGTGAACATTTTCAAAATATAGCCCTTTGGAGATCCTTATAAAGTATTTCACGTTGATCATTGGAAATTATGAAGACTATTTTTGCTAAATTTGATGGAATCGTTAATTTCACAATACTATCACACCATTTGTGCTGCTTTTCAAAATTAGTACTTCTACTACCATTCACTACAGTCACTACACTTCACAATAAGTACTGTGAAGCACTTTAGGACGACTTCCCAACATGCAACAACTATACCAAACACAGGGAGTATTATTCCATTTTCTTAAAACATAAAGTGAACTATAACTTGCAAAACAAATGCTGTTATAATGTCAATCAGTAACATTTCTAGTTGTGTGCCATATTGTCTGTAACTAACATTTGCTATTTCATTTAGATCACTCCAGTGACTTCAAAGGAGGATAAAAACAAAGACCAGCCACAGGCCAAGAAGGCGAAGGTCAAAACCAAGACTGTGGACCTACCCATTGACAGCAAATTACACTCACAATTAAGTCAGCAAATGCTGAATGCATTCACTGAAAATGAGGTAATTGTTTTTTTAAAAGAGATGCAAAATAGCTGTTCTAGTCAAGCGGGTGAAAGAATATCTAAATTGATGAGGAAAATCAGTGGGACTAAAATTGTCTGGTATATAAGATGTAGTGGAATTCACATGGAGTATTTGGGTGAATGATCTAAACCAGATCTTTCTTCTGGGGTTGTTTTTTACTCCAGCGCTGATTCAACTGGATTCTGAATACACTCAGTCTTACAAGGGCATTCCACAAATTCACCTTCAGCATTCCCACATGGCCAATTACAACCCTGAATCTCTGTGTAGCTAAGATACCAAAAGGCAAGGTCCATATGGTTCAGATTACAACATAGTTTCCAAGGTATTTCAGCATTCAGTCTAGCAGTGAAAGAAATGCTTTTCATCCAGTTCCCAAGGACTTGAGGTTTTGAAAGTAAATTTAGTAGTGTGTTAATTTGGCCTCTTAAGGATTTGTGTATATAAAAAACAATTTAAATATTTGGAGATATTGGTTTGAACGTCGATCTGTTTGTGTTCAATCTAAGTAACTTCTCTCTCTCCTTCCAAACAAATGAAAATCATAGTTGTTTTAAAAATAATAGGAATGATAAAAGGTCATCTGCCTATATCCTTGAAATATATGTTTTTTCAATAGAGACAACCTGTGAGCTGTTCTACCTGTGAATTGGAACAACAGCATAAGTCGGGTTCATCAGGAAACCGGACAATAAAGCTGTAAACTAAGTGGCCACAAAAGCACTTGCTCTTCACTAGGATCTTTGTGGAGTCCTGTACCGCAGGGGTTAGCAAGCGAGAGGCCCCGGGTTTGATTCCCGTTTTGGCGAGACTTTAGGAAAGTTTTCTTATTCCGCACACCTGATTACCAGCAGGAAGTAGGAACCCAGTTGTTAGTCTATTGGCGGATCGTTTTCCGGCGGTAATAATCCCTCAAAAAAAATAATAGTAATAATTCGATCACTCAATTCACAAAGGTTTGTGGGTCACTGCTGTGGCTGCTGGGTTTCGGCCACAAAGCACACAGTCACTACACTTTATAGTATATTTTGTGAAACGCTTTGTTGTCTCGAAGATATAAGGCATTATAAAATTCAAGGATTATTATTATTAGCAATCTATTCCCCCCATCAACTATCTTTGTAAGCACAATTATTAATTTATTTTGAACAACAGGCAGTTTCATATTATGAATTTGTACATATTTGGAAGTTGGATGCGAGTGCCTGAACTAGTCTGATGTTTACAAGTGATAAACATAAGACAACAGATTGCTTACAAGTGTTGAAGAGCAAACTTTCATCCCATCATCCTGAGCTGAAATCAAACTTTTGAAGGGTGAAAGCCAGACAATTTTCCTTTCCAAAGTCATTGTCATATTTTACTTAGCTTTTTTAGTACTCCACAAACAGTACGTAACACGGAATGATTTTGAAGTATTCAAACCTAATCGACATGATACAATATTCTGTGAAACTCTTTGACATGTTTCAACGATGTGTTGAGGCGCTATATCAAATTCAAGTGGTAATTTTGTGCAATGAATTCTGATCTTATTATGAGAAGAATTTACATTAATGTGTTCCTTGTGTTTTTAATATTCAGGGTAAAATGATCATGCAAGATAAGCTTGAGAAGGAGAGGAATGATGCCAAGAATGCAGTGGAAGAATATGTATATGAAAGTCGAGAGAAACTGTGTGGAAAATATGAACAATTTGTCAGTGAAGATGTAAGTATTTGACTCGAATCATAACTTTTTTTAGTTAAGGGATTTCCGATCACTCTTTCAGATGTTCCTATGAAACAAATATGAATTGCAAGATAGTTAAGCAAAAATAAGATTGAAAGTTTAAAAAGGATCCAATACAAATAACCAACCAGCGAAAATGCATTTAGTGACTGTTCCATCACACGTCTCTCAGCATTTGCCAGAAACAATCGCGAATATTCAGAGTTTCAGAGTATTCTGAACCTACAGTAAACCTGCTAGTTTCTTTAATATTCTCAAATTTGTCCTGTGATATTTCCTTCTCACAGTAGCAAATAATCTGAGCTGCTCCATTGACTTAGTGGGTAAAAGGCCCAAAGCCGATGTAGATATAAGATTCCAAGGTTCAACCCTGGGCTACCATCAGGTTACTTCTCAGCCAGAGCAGCTGTTTGGCTGACAATTAGTCTCCGTATCCCCATGTTAGGGAGGAACGTCTGCTGAGATTCCTTTTCCTACCAGAAGTTTGTGATAAATGTTACATGGGTGGATGGCGGGACAGGACTCTGCAGTTATGAAATAATTCATTGAATTGATAACATGCCTTCTTTTCATCCCAGGAACAAAGCAAGTTATCCCGTCTGCTGGAAGATACAGAAAACTGGTTATATGAAGATGGCGAAGACCAGCCAAAACAAGTGTATATTGATAAATTGAATGAATTAAAGGTGATATATGAAACCATACCATTTAATTAAATAAATTGCTCCATTTTACTGAAATATAGATGTATATAATACCTAACCATTTCCTAGTAAAAATGAATTGAACTAAACCCATATGTCTACATTTCAAATTAGATGATTCCATCACAGTTTACGGTCTCATTGTCTTCCTGGGAACAACAACCGGTAATGTTTGAGGTTCTCATTCCCCTGAACTCTGCAACACGCAGACTGAGGAATCCATTTAATGCTGATTTCCTTGTGCAGTGTTTGAGTGAAATTACCAATTTGAAAAACTTGTAGGTTCATTGTCACTGAAGGCAGCAAGGTCAATCTACCGATAATTGATTTATTTGAAAATCAGCAGATTCCATTTAAAGTCGAGGTAATTTTATCATATGCTTTAACATATGTTCTTGCCAATGCTTTAACATTATAAGCGGTCACAACAATTGTTATCAGAGCTGGAATATGAAACTCAATACTTTATAATTTTTTTCTCTCTTAGAACCTTGGTCAACCAATTCAAGAACGTTATCAAGAATTTGAGGAACGTCCAAAGGCCTTTGACGAGCTGGGGAGACAGATCCAACAGTACATGAAGATAATAAATGCATTCAAGGATAAAGTATGTAGGAATAAATAATTTTCTTGTTGGATGTGATGTCCAACTCCAATTTGAAAGAGTCCATTGTAAATTTAAAAGAGTATGGTAGTGAGCTAGTTGTAACAGTTGTTTTATGAGATAGTAGAAGTATTTTTGATAATAATCAGCAGCTCAGTAGAAATATTTTATCCAAATTATGTCTCTAGTGATGCTGAAATGTCAGTCAGGATGATCATGTAGGTTTTGAACTCCAAACCTTCTAACTCACAGGTCAGGTTGCTACCAAGTAGTTCAAGTTTGTACCCGAAGTGTTCAAATGACAAACAATAATATGAACTCAAATATTATTATATTTTGAATCATTATGGAGTCCTGTAGCTAGTTTGATTCCCAGCAGGGCGAAATGTTGGACAAGTTTCCTTACTCCACATGCCTCTGTTTACCTAGCGGTAAGTAGGACCCTGATTATTAGTCAGTTGGCGGATCACTTTTCCCGGGATGATAATTCCTTCAAAAAAAAATTAAAATAATAAATTGGTCACTTCAATCCACGACTGTTTGTGGGACACTGCTGTGCGTAATTCGCTGCTGTGTATCGCCCACAAAATATACATCAATTCACTTTACAGTATATTCTGTGAAGCACTTTGAGATATCTCAAAGATGTGATAAGGTACTACATCAAATGCAAGGATTATTTTTACTATATTGTGTTCAGAATATCTCTGAAACTAGCTAAAATCGTCAATTCTGATGTAAATGCACATTGAGCCAAACAGGCTCTACTTTTAAGAAAACTAATATTTTGTGTGTTTGTTTCCTGCTGCTCTCCTCTTTGTCTAGAATGAACAGTATGATCACCTGGACTCTGCTGAGATGGAAAAGGCAGAGAAGCAAGTGCATGAAGCAATGGAATGGATGAACACTAAGATGAATCTGCAAAGTAAACAGCCTCTAGCACAAGCCCCACTTGTACAATCTGCAGAAATCCAATCTAAGACTAAGGTGAGCAAAGTCTTGACATCAGATTGTTATTATTATCATTGACTGGGGCTCCAGCATTGGGTTAAGTAGTAGAATTCTAGGAAACTATAGCATTTAATATCCTATTTACCTGAAAATAGGCTGGTTTTTTTCTGGTACTTGTGGTATTAAACCAAACAACATTCTCCTGCCCCAAAACACGACTGCCATAATTTTTTTTCTCAGGAGTTGATCAACCTTTGTAACCCCATCATTACGAAGCAAAAGCCAAAAGTAGAGCCCCCAAAAGAGGAAGAGAAGACGGCTGAGCAGAACGGACCAGTGAACGGGCAGCCGGGAGCTGACCCTGAGGGCTCTCCACCTGCTGGCACAGAAAGCAAAGAGCAGAAGCAACAAACTCTCCCAGAGATGGACATTGACTAAGAGTACAGTGCTCAGCAAACAGAAAGGTCAAATTTAATGTCATGGACTTTGCAGTGCAGCCTTTTCCCCTTTTATGGTGAATGCAGTTTAACCTGAACCAAAAGTATTCTTGACCCTCTCCGATATGTCTAGGCAGGTTTTTTTTTCCCACTTTCCCAAACTGCAATAGAAGGAGAAAATACAATCTGGGCTTTGGTCAGGCTTTTGCTTGTGGCTTTAGGTATCGCTAGCAAGAGGATGATTTTTTTTAATACCTATTCCTAACTAAACTGACTGGAAAGAGGTGGCTGTTGCAGAAGATGCAGGCAAGGACTTCCTTAGGAAGGTTTCTGCTGTTATTGAGAATTTGAGATAACTCGCTGGCTTTTCACTTGATGGCTCATATTACATTTGAGTGCTGTGTTCTCATTATGTTAGCCTGCATTGATTGTTCTCAATAGCTATTAGAAACCTAAAGCTACAATACCTACAGCTTTTTAGACTAACCCAATCTTGAAGGATTACAATAAGCAGTATTTTTTTCTAAAAGATACTATAAAAATCATTTTCAACTTTCGTTATTGTATTTCGTAAAAGCCAGGGTTATCGGAATCAAAGTTAAAGTTTGGGCCCAATGGGTATGAGATGTGTTTAAATATTCTAACAGTTCTGGGGGAAAAAAATTCTAAATCTTGTGTTCTGGCACCAGAAAAAGAGAGATGCTGTTTGTCCATATATTTGACACAATAAAATATGTTAATTTACTTGCAAGACAGATTGTGGTGTATTTATAAACAAAACAAAGTCTGTTAGGCTGCTTTAACTTCGAGGTTTTCAGAATCTAGCACTGATTTGATCCACGATTCCCAAATGTTGAATGTTTGAATTTACAAGTATGCCGCAAAGTTCTTGGTAAATGTCACTGTTGGATGTAGCAATGCCAGCTCAGGAGACAGAAAAAGATGTGAAATGCAATCACACAGTGCAATACAGTGCAGTGCGATTGTGTAAGTGATCTGGTAAGTTCAGAACTTGTTCCAATCGTGCATTCAGTTGGCTAAAGGCAAATGATGGTTTCAGCCAGCTTTAGACTTATAAAAGGGCAGCTCCTCCCTGTTTAACTTGTCACTTATTCCCACGTGATATACTTTGTGAAGTATTCATAATAGACTTTTTGGGGGGGTCCACCTACTGATTAAATTTCTTTTTATCCTCTGCATGCTTTTTAATTGACTTGCCTGTGTCCTATGAAGGGAATAAACTGAAATTAAAAAAAAAAGGGCACGCTGAAGATTCTTTATTGTTTACATGGAGATAATCCTATTGGTTTTCCTTTGTTTAATGCATTTTGAAGAAGGTGGCATTGGGAATGTGCTCTCTGTGCTGTTGATTTTTCTAAGGGAGTTTCACCTTTTTAGAACAGGTGTGAGTCCTATTTATTTTAAATTCCATGAACAGAAGCGTTTATTTTGAAAGGGGTTTCCCCCCTACCCGAAAAGGACAATGATATTTCCTCACATTAGTTTATATGAAAAATAAATATACTGGGTACAAGTTCGCCACGATATCCGTTACACAAAAAAGCCATGTTCCCCTCTCCCTTCTGCGTTTGCACCTAATTGAGACTATTTGATATTGAAGTAAGAAACATTGTCTAGCCTTTTTTTTNCCACTGCCTTTTCCCATAATTTACTGTAATGTTCTCAGCATGGAATGAAGATTGATGTTTGCAGTTTGCTGACTTGAGCTTTGTTAGTAGATTTTAATGCTGTAACTGGACATAGGAACAATTGGAGATGATCAAAGTTGTGTACAAAAGAAGCTGGATGGGGTGTGCAAGGGGAATCCCAACTGTGTTTTCCATGTGTGCATGTATAATTTTCTCCTTTCCTCTACTCCCCAGAAGACCAAGAGACACTTTTCTGCTCCCGTCCCGAACTTAGAATTAACAGACTTTTGTGTGCTTCATACAAGTTAATTTAGTCACTTAAGGAATGAATACCAGGTGTATAAAGTACCTTGTATATATTTGAGGTAAAATATTGGGACTAATTAGAATGACCCCATTTGTTGAAAAATTAGTTAAGTCTGTCCAGTTCCCAGTTATTGTTGCTTAGGTATTACATACAGATTCATGATGCTGCACCTCTATATAGCAGGTGGTAATTTGTTATAGTCATAACTGGCTTCAAGTCTTGAAAACATTGTCTATTGACGTACCATGTCACGAGGTGTGAGTTGCTATTTCCACTGTATATTTATACTCTTACTATTTCACTGAACTGAGTGGAAAATGCAATAAACAAAATTGAAGAATGATTCTGAGTTTTTTTACAATTGCAATTTACTAAATTGTAAAATCTAGATTTTAGGGTTTCATTGTGTGGTTATTACCTGGGATGTGCTTCAAAGCAAAGTTATTGATTAATAATCCTGTAGTGTGGTTAGTTCACCTTGCAAGCAAGTGGATCTGGGTTTGAGTCCTGGACACCTGTTTACCTAGGAGTAAGTAGGAACCCAATTGTTAATTGATTGGCAGAGTACTTTCTGGGGTAATCATCCTTTTTTTAAAAAAATGGTTTGGTCATTTAATCCACAGCTGTTTTGTGGGATACTGCTGTGTGTAATTGGCTGCTATGTTTTGCCCACAAAATATAGTCAATCCACTTTACCATATCTTCTCAATGACAAGAATTATTATAACTGCAGAGTGGAATCTCGGTTCCCATGTAGGCTTGGATGTCAATGATTGTCTGGGTAGATTTTGTGACATGCAGTTGCTGTGGTGATGGAGAGTAGCTGTGGAGTATATGGCCAGCCTGAGTTGATGCCGACAGTAAATTAGTTGGTGGGAGATGTCTGACCAGTGATGTAACAGCTTTTTAAAACAAAATGTCCATTTAAACTGAAGTATTGTTCCTATTGGCACAAAACCTCCGACGTGTGAAAGGCGACTAAGAGGTTTCACTTCAATAGGAAACTCTTGAGGCTTGTGGTGCTTTAATATTGCTTGGAATCTAATGTGATTTTCAACTGGATTCCAAATAGTCGAAGGAGATTTCTTAATTGAAGAATCTAGATTTTAGGGTTTCATTCCCCAGTGATGAATTCCCTACATCACACCATTTTTTGTCACTGTGCTTAGCACTAGGCTAGGAAAGTAACATTTCATAGAACACAAATTGTTCAACCAAGTAAGTTTATTAAATTCAGAAATCAAACATTTGACCATTTTCTGATTTCTAGTCAAGTTTTTTTTAACAAAAAATACCTTCAGTCACCAAATCCTAGCTCATGTTGTGTCAGAAGTGCAAAGAATGTTAGTTGCCAAGCGAGTCTGGGCTGCTTTTAAAGTGTAACTGCTTTGTAACATTGCATTTTCCCCATAAATGCAAATTTCACAGATAAATTTCTTAAATCTGCAAATGCTCAAAAACCAGTGCCCATCCCTATCTAGACACATCGGAAACCCAAATAGTTTGCACCTCTGCATAATATAAAATCACTTTAAAAACATTAAGTTTAGATTATCGCAAACTACTTTTCGTAAACTTGTTTGCAGGCCTCTCTAAACATACAAAATATTGCACTGCACCAGTGAAATGCAGGTCATTAACTAAATGCACAATGGGATCACTAAGAGTATATATTTTTAAAAAAAGGTTGGGTCTCATAGCTGAGGATTTAATACTGAACAATTTAGACAATTCATATGTTCCCTGGAATACTGTATGGTTTTGGAAGATTAATATCCCAAATTCCACTTAATCGCATCTTTTACCCCAGTTGCACAATTTAAATTCAAACAGTTTTCATTAAACCATTAAGAGGGAGGGAAAGAAAATCACCTAGCTTATTTAAAGTACATGCCATCGATTCTAACCAAGTCAAAATATTCAACAAAGCAACTTCAATTGGCACCCAGCATCCATAAAAATATTAATGTGTAGAAACACTTTATAATAAAAAATCACTTTAGAACAAATTGAAAGTTGTTATGTTGAACAGTGTGTTTTGATTTGGCTTTAAGCTATTGTGGAATGATGAGGAATAGAAAAAGTTTTTAAAATAACCTATCTGGAGGCTGCCTTGAGATTTTAAATAACTTTAACAACAACAGATAATTCCTCACCATTACCTAATTGCACTTCAGAGGACAAAATCTTCGACTTCAGAAAACTCAAACTACATTGCCATTTATTATTGCGCACATAACTGGCTTCTGTGTAAGTACATCTTCATTTTCAGATGGCAGGGCTATTTGAAATAGTTCATACTCAGAAGATCAGGATGACAAATGTATAGAGTGGGCCAGTGTATGCAACACAACAGGGGGAAAAAAAGCATAGAAAGACCGTTATTTGCTGACAGAAAACAATTTAAATAAACAGCGTTCTTATCATGAGGAGGACTACAACTATTGCTGCATTTCTTTTTCCAGGTAGGAGTGTAAACGAAATCAATAAATGGAAAATAACTGCTGAGACATGAGGAATAATAAATGATGCATTGCTCAGCTAAGTGGGATGCAAAGGGGAGGGGAAGAAGGGAAATATTTAGATGTCTACAATGTTGAATACATTACTTACAAAAATACTGCACTTTATGATTTTTAAATTAAGTAACTGATGAAGAATGGTTCCATGAATATATCTGCCAGTATTGCACATTCACCCATCCAAGAATAGAATCTAAATATTGGCATGTAAAAAGTTTCACATTGTAAAGTTCATACTGTATATCTACATATGAAAATGTTAGAACAAAAGAAAATAGTTGCTAGTGTTATTGTCAAAACGTTGCCTTTTAGCAAATTCAATTTTGACCATATGCGCACTTCTGAAGACACCAAGCAAAAATAATTATTTGAGGCATTTTAATTGTAATAAAAGTTGCTCCTTCAGTGCACATCTTCATAGGAATTCTGTGAGAAACGGGAGAGAAAAAAACAATTAGATGTTTGACCACTTTCATTTGATTCTGATTTCCAGAAATGCTCAATTACAAACACAGGACACGTGAAATCCATAAAATACCTCTAACGGCGGCTTTCCGTATCTTTCATTCAACACAAGTTGCAGCTTCAGGGATGGTTGGGAGAGGAGTGATTCTCTGCCAACTGGGCTGAAGGTGTCGAGATGTGCTTCTCGACACGATCCACATCAGTTTCTTGTTATTGGGTCTAGAACACTTGGATGAAGAGTACTCTGCTAAACACTTTGCAACCCGTTCCCTCCAGTGGAACAAATCCCGGTTACTTATCTGTGCAAAATAGAAAATAAATTGAAGGTAATTGTAATTCTCCCCTTTACTAAAAAAACTGAACAGGAATACAGGACAGAGTGGAGAATCAACGTGGATAGTCTGTGGGGAGAAATTTTACCTGATTTATTCTAAGTAGTATTTCAGAGTGCACAAAATTTGACAAATTAAACTCTTCAGCAAACTAGAGAAAACTGGCTTCAAATTTGAGACTGAATTCAACAATTTGCCAAATTTGACACGTTCTGAATTACTTAATGATTTGTGCATTTGATATAGCACCTTATCACATCATCGAGCTGTTTCAAAGAGAGCTTCAAAGGATTTTTATTGTGAATTACAATTACCAGTTGCTTTCCATTTGAAAAGATGAGCTCATTACAAAAAGCTAGGATTGACAGCAAAGCCATTTTATTTTTAAGCCATCTGAACTGAACCTGCTATCTGGTCTGACACAGTTTACTGTAACACCATACCACTTACTTTGAAATTCTGTTGAAGGCTCTCGACAGTCTCCACTATTTCGTGCAGTTTTTGCGCTTGCACCTCCAGCGAAAGAATGGAAAGTGCCAATATGGAAGGCTAAAAAAAAATATGTTAAATTAAACATTTAACCATTGTGCTGCTAGCAGGTTTACAAAGACTCGTGTGTAGACTGACTGGACTGTATATTTTCATCTTAAAACACAGGAAGAAGTTGATTTGCATTAATAAATGCCACATAGATTTAATTTTATAATACAGCACATATCAAAAGAGCTTTACAGGATGTACTTAAGACTAATTTGTACGCCAACATGGCAACTAATTTAGCACACAGCAATGACCCAAACAGCTGTGAAGTGACCCACCCATTTGTTTATTAACATAACCATGTTAACTTAATTCAAAAGCCACCCTTTTAAATACTTCAACTCTTCCTGCCATTCCTTTCGTGTACCTTATGATTTCCACATTCTCTGTGTATTCTATTTCCTACCTATTCCCAACTTATTGATTTCTACCTTTCATTTCACTGTTCAGTTTGAAGAGAGGGACAACTTTAGTTGCCCTGAAAGTGCTGAGCAATGAAAAGATAAGCCAGATAGATGCTCAATTTTAGACATGATTTTTGTGTCTAAAGCAGCATTTGGGGCTGTGTTATCCTTCCCCAGGACACTCTCTGTTTAAAAGAATGTGCACAGATATAACCTGGGGAATCAGGCTGCCTGTAAACCTGACAGATCTGGTGAGTAAATATAAGGAAGCTCCTGAAATAAGACAAAGTCAGCTCGTCTATTGGACGGAAACCATGGGAGTTAGCAGTGCAACTTTACAAGAAAGGGTCAGTGCTGGGAACTGCATAGATTTTGATTTGATTTTAGAGGCATAGTATTGTGTCTGCAATCCACCAAAGAAGATTTAACTTTTGGATCTTGCCAAGCGCTAAACTTACTTTTGTTTTGGAAAAGGCAAAGTGACAGCTGCAGGCTTTAAGTTGGGCTTCAAGTCGTTCAAGATTTAGGATCTTCTTCCTTGAATAAAAGATTAAACAGTGGTCTGTGCTTTAAACAAAGTATGTTGTTAAACAATTTTTCTACAAAATCAGGAGACTCTGGTTAACTGAGTGTCAGCTTACATCATAGGCTGTGGCATTTGGGTTTGATTCCCAGCAGGGCAAAAGTTAAGCAAGTTTCCTTACTCCACATGCCCCTGTTTACCAGCAGCAAGTAGGAACCCGCTTGTTAGTCAACCCAGCCACAGAAATGTAATTATTTTTAATATACAATTCTTTTTAATGCCTTCAAGCATGAACTTGAGGTATTTTACTCCTAAAATGCTTTGAATCCTAGAGGCTGCTTGTAGCCTATTTACACTGGCAAACAAGAGTGGAAAATTCAACACCATTTGCCAGGAAGGACCAGATGTTTCACTAAAATTAACACATACACAAATCCAGAGTGAAAAATGGCTTATGCTTCACATTAGAAGCCAGCATACCTTTCAGAAGCAGCACAATTCAGAATCAAAGTGTGATACAGTCGCAGAAAATTCAGGGCAGTTGGAGCCTTCACCCTCCAAAGCAGCTTCTCTAGAATAATCCTCTCCATCCTGATCATATCTGACACCGTGAATCTACATTGGCTGATTCGAATTAGGTCATTGGCTGGTGGGACGTTACGCTCCTCCTCCAGCACCTTCACAGCCAGGTAACAGCAGGTCAGGCCCACACAGCACAACTGTCTCGGTTGCACCTTCAATCAGAACAGATTTTCAGCACATGTTCCAACATTTTGCCCACAAAATACCCAATCAATTCACTTTGCAGTATATTCTGTGAAGCCCTTTGAGACACTGAGGGGCTGTATCAAATCCAAGGATTATTATCATCATTGGGGGCAATAGTAGGCAAGTGAGACACAGACTATTGGTTGATTTCTAGTTTCGTACAAAATTTTACTTTTTGCAACAAACAACTAGCTAGAATATTTGTTGTATGGGTTTGAGTGTACCTGCATGTACTCAGAACACCAGGGAGCTGGTTCATCCATCACTAGCGAATCGGAACTGTTCTAAGTAAGGTATACATTAACATGTTACTCCATCATCTATATAGTAGTAATGCAAAGCTTCACTTTTTTGTAGCATTTTTACTTTTGCATGTCATGCTGAGTTTGGATGTCAGCCTGGCTCAGTTAATAGCACTCACTCCTGTGAGTGAGGAGATTGTGGGTTCAAGCCCCATTTCAGGACTTTGACCTCACCATCTGACACGCGAAGGAAGCCCTTGTCGTTTTTAGGAGATGTCAAACTAAAGCCACAAGTGCCTGTTCAGGCAGATGTTAAAACATCTCACAGCTTGATTTAAAAAGAGAAGGCAGCTTATCCCAATGTCCTGGCCAACTAAATCAATTAAAATTGATTATTCTCTTCATGGCTGTTTGTGGGACATTGCTGTGGGCAAATTGGCTATTGTGTTTGCCTGATAAAAAAAGTCACTGCATTTTACCTTTGTGAATCCTTTGAAGTGCTTTAACATGTTCTACCGACATGAAAGGTAACTATATACAATGCAAGGATTTCTATTACATTACAAGTACTTTCCCAATATGTCACAAAGAAGTTAAAGATTTTACCTTAATCAAGGCCAAGAATCTATCAAGCAGGTGGACAGCCAGAACAAACACATCTGTGCTGAAGCCAAAGAACTGAGACAGGCTGAGCAGCTCCTTGACTTCGAGATCCCTCAGTTGGACAGTCATATGGATCCCATTGTCACGCGCAGATTCAACTATTTTCAAACCACTTATCTTTGGCTGATACTTTGGTTCTTGTTCCAATAAAACCTTTATCTGGTTTACAAGGTGCAGCACCTCACTTGTTGCTCCTTGAGGTTCAGCACCAATCATCTGAAACATGAGAATAAATTGCGTCACCAAATCAGGAGTTTCACTGTTATGTATAATCTAGTTAGTGCAAGATCTATGTTCTCAATTGATAAAATCAGAGCTCGCCAGAAATACATCCAGAGTTGAAATGGTCTAAATAAGGATCTACACTGGTTGGGGGGGGAGAGAGAACAGACAGTTCAACGCTACTTTGCTCCGCTCAAGTAGAAGATGAGCTGAAAGAAAAGTCTGTAAAGTCGGTTTACAAATAATCACCATACTTTACAGAAAAGTATAAAGTTTTGACTAAAGGCACAATATCAAATGCAAATGTTATTTAAGAGACTTTCTTGCTCAATACTGTACTGCATTGTTTCCCAATACAATCTGTATATTTTTAGATTGCCAAACAGTGTGATTTTACTTTAGTTCCCAGTCTCTGGCAGAATACTCTCTCACAATGACAACACCCTGATGTAAAGTCAGGTGTTGGGGGTGAGGGGCACATCTCACAAGGGGTCAATTGAGCTCGAGATCTTGCAGACTACATGTAGGACAGCAGATGGTCAGAGTGTATTGTGTTACTGGGGCCTGTGGTGAAGCATTTATTACCCACCAGATGTCACTGACAGGAAACATCAGAAAGTCACATTTAAAAAAGGCACAAATTGTCTCAATCCCCAATATTTTCAACTAGAATAAACTAGTTACCATTGCATACCAAATGTAATGAGATTAGACCCGGGTAAGACAAGGATACAAGTTTCAATGAACAGATAACCAACATTTATCATTAAAAACATCTTAAACAATACAGGCACCGAATAACAGAGCCGGCTATTCAATGTTTAAGTAGCTAACAAAAAGGCTGACGTGATTAGCAGCAAAATTCACCAAACCCTTAAACTAAAGGATTGGTTTTGTGGTTGAGCAAGTTTTTAAATGGCCAGAACTGGAAATAAAGAGTTACGCAAACAGTTAAGCAGGAATCACTGAACACAGCAGTGAGGCAGCCAGAACACGGGCTGTTTCTGCTGATTACACAAAGTCAGGGAAGCTCTTTATCCACCGGACAGCGTGGTTCCTGACAGGATTAGCAGTGGAGAGATCAGGGAGTAAGCATTGATTTAATATAATAAATATAATAAATATTTCCACATTGGGGGTGTGGAGCCTCTCAGGACATGTCCAGACTTGTCCCCTCCTCACTCCAGACAAGCCCAGGCATGTCTGAACGCGGAGTGAACACTCTTCACTCAGAGGCCATTCTCTCCCCCAAAAATACCACCAGCTCCAGTGCAGCTCCCTCCAAAAATCAATAATAATAATAATTTGGTCACTGAATGCACAACTGTTTGTGGGACATTACTGTGTGCAATTGGCTGCCGCGTTTCGTCCACAAAATAGTCAATCTACTTTACAATATATTTCGTGAAGCGCTTTGAGCCACTTCAACAATATGATAAGGCACAACATCAAATGCAAGGATAATGTTTATTATAGTAGAACAGAGAGAACATCAGGACGTCCTCCTGACGTGAAAAACGCTATATCAAATGCAAGGATTATTATTATTATTACTATTATTATTATCAGCCAGAACTCAGCGCCCCACCCTCCCAACCCCCACCATTTTCTCCTCATTCTCTCAACCTGTACCTTTGCTGTGGTTTCTTTGTAATTCCAGCTGTTCCAGCTTCACGAGATGTCTTTCTCAGTGTTTAAAAGCCTGTGTCTTCTTTATAAAACGAGCAGAGCGACTTAGCTCAATCCTCCTCTTTATACTCCATCCGCTGCACTCATTGGCTTTGCTGACGGCTGATTATTTTGCCAATCATCTGATCCCTCCTCCCCATCTCTCTTCCGGATTCTCAGACCCACCCCCACACACTCAACATTAATAATACCTTGTAAATAATAATAATCCTGATCACTCTATTGAGTCATCTCAAAGTGCTTCACAGGATATTACTGTAAAGTGGATTTACAATTAGAGCGAATCGACTTCCAGATCCTCACTCTAGTGCTTAAACCCTCCATTCCTTGATTCCCCATCTCTCTCACCTCCTCACTCCCCACAGCAGTACCCACTGCCTCCGCTCCACTGGGTCTGGCCTCCTCCTCCCCGAATCCTCCGCTCCACCATCGGCGGCCGTGCCTTCAGCTGCTATGCCCCGAAACTTTGGAACTCCCTCCCTCAACTCCCTCGCCTCGTCCCCTCCTTCCCCATCGCCAGGTCATGCCTGAAGACCTTCCTCTTTGACCACACCTTCGGTCACAGGGGTGGGGGTGAGTGGGTGGGGGGCAGGGCAGAGCGGTAGGGGGGCACAAAGGAAGGTAAGGGAGGGCATAAGAGGGTGAGGGAGGACGCACACACACACCCCGAGACGCACACACATACCCTGAGACACACAAAGACACACAGAGACGTGCATGTGTGTTTGTGTCTGCTACTCACTGCTGGTAAACAGAGTAAGGAAACTTGTCTTAAGGTTTCTCCAGGACCAGGAATTGAACCCAGACCCAGTCGCTTGACATATTCTGTCTGAGCTTTACCCTGAGGTTCACAAACAGAGATAAAGACCCTACAAAAATTCACAAAAACTAAACAAATCTGGTCAAATCTTGTCTGAATTTTGAGAAATGTAGACTTTCTAAAATTACTGTTGAGCTCCTTTCCCATCAGAAATCATAATCTCACAAGAACGCACAACAGTACATGGATCATATTTAGCACCATTTACTGAGAAACTATTAATGCATTTTGTAGAAAAAAGTAACTGATTCTTTTTGGAATTGGTGCAGCTGTAATGTTATCATTTTGGAGGATCTGATCTTTCTGAAGTGAACCCTTATTTGGAAACAAAATGGTGGTTTCAAACTGCTTTTTGAAAAAAGTAAGACTTGTATGTTTTTGTACCTCACATTCAGCTGTTGCGTTGATTGTTGTCCAACATGGTTCACTGACCTACATTCATGGCTAAACACAAACACAAATCAGCAGATAGTCCTCTGAAGTAAGCCAGTTCACGGCTAAAATTCCTTTGTCAATGAATAAATGTCTTTGAATTGATAGAAACAATGGTAATTTCCTCTTTTTTCACATTAGTATGATATGAAAGGTTAGTTATTCAGTTAGTTGCAATAATGGGTATTGTGTTCATTGTGGTTTTTAACTGTTCGTTTAACTGAAGGTAAAACTTTGTATTTTTTTAATTATCAGACATATGCCTTGGGACGTCCTCCCGATGTGAAAGGCGCTATACACATGTAATTTGTTGTTGTTGTTGTACACAGAGAGACTGTAATGTGGCTGTTGTACAGCAGGGGGCGCTGTGTGTGATCACAGGCTGTAATGTGGCTGTTGTACAGCAGGAGGCGCTGTGTGTGATCACAGGCTGTAATGTGGCTGTTGTACAGCAGGGGGCGCTGTGTGTGTAAATATTTATATATTGAAGTCGTTTATTGAAATATTTACACACATTTATATAAATATTTGTTCCTGTCCAGGGAAATGTAAGAGAAGCTGATCCAAACTCGCCCACAAAACATATACTGCCAACTCAATTTACAGTATGTTCTGTGAAGCGCTTTGAGACATCTTAAAGATGCGACAAAGCATTATATCATTTGTTTCTGTCTAAATATTCTGCGGATTCAATGGGAAGAAGCTTATAGAATCGTAGAATTGTACAGCACAAAAAGAGGCCATTCGGCCCATCGGGTCTGTGCGGCTCTTTGAATAGAGCAATTAATGTCAATCCCACTCCCGGCCCTTTCCCCATAACCCGCAAACCCGTCCTCCTCAAATACCCATCCACCATGTTTTTAAAAGTAGTTATCAAATCGGCCTCGACCGCCCTTTCAGGTAATGCGTTCCAGATTTGAACAACTCGCTGCGTGAAAAAATTTCTTCTCACTTCCCCTCAGCTTCTTTTAGAGACTATTTTGAATCTGTGACCTCGAGTCACCGACACACCCACCAGTGGAAACAGCTTTTCCATTTCTAACCTGTCAAATCCCCTCATGATTTTGAAGACCTCTATTAGGTCTCCTCGTAACCTTCTCTGCTCCAATGAGAATAATCCCGGCCTCTCCAGCCTTTCCTCACAATCACGGTCCCTCATTCCTGGTACCATCCTCGTAAATCTCCTCTGCAACCTTTCCAATGCCTTAACATCCTTCCTATACTGTGGTGGGGCCGAATGGGCTCTTTTTGTGCCTTATGTAAATATTTCAATTTATGCTTTGTGTATTTGTGGACAGGCAGTCATTAGGGTAACTGTCCTCACATGCCCATTTGCCCCATTGCTGTTTTTCTCTTGTCATTTTTTTGTCTTCATTTCCTAAAACCATTTTTCTTTCTGGAGAAATTCTGTTTGTCACTTTGTTTTCTAAGCTTTGCTCTTCTTTCAGTCTTTAGTTCACTCTCGTTTACACTTGAGTCAAAGGTTGTCCTGGAGCCAGTGTAGGTTTGTGTTGCTCTTGAACACTGGGCTAACATTTGTTCATACCAAGTGATTGCTGGATCTTCATATGTCCAATGAACTTCGGAGACCTTGTCCCCACCCATCTCCGTTTGATATAGATTGTGACCAACTCTTGACCAGTTCGGCTTTTCCTTTTACCGTGCAATCCGTCTCAAAGACGGCAATGACAGAATCACTGTGTGGAATCCTTTTTTTTGCCGTTATATCGCAATGTCAATCTTAAATTGTCATCTAGATTTCGGTCATAAAGACAAGCAACTGGGAATCATTTAGAGATGAGGTGGAGCTGAAGATCGGAGGAGATGTAAGTGATTAATGCGCTGAACTCAGTTGTCATCTGAAGATAAGTCTGTACTAGTGAAACCAGACAGCGACAAGTGAAACTCATGTTCTTTCTCTCTGTAGCACTTTGGACTCGTGGAGGTTACGATAAGTCTGTGCTGGTGGGAACTCTGTGATGACGGCAAAGGTGGCATCTCTTTCTCTCTTGATGTTTCCACACTCCAGCGATTTGGCAACACTTATGTTGACTTCATGCAGGATGCCTCGGGTCAGTCGCTGCCAGGGCTGGATCGGAGCAGTTTGTACGGCTGATTTGTTAGTGATCGGCAATGTGTAGCTGCCGAGTCAGTCACTCCCGGGTCTGGGTCAGTGTAGCTGCTACAAGTTAGGTTCTGTCCAGACTGGTTTAGTGTAGTTGTTGAGTTAGTTTATGCTGAGATTGGTTCAGAGTTGGTTTTGTGAGGGTGAGTTCAGTCCAGATGATGAGAGTTGGTTTCTCTCAGTGTTTCCTAAATGTAGTTGAGAGTTGGTTTAGTTCAGAGGGTGTTTGAGAGTTGGTTTGGGTCAGGGCAGGTACAGTGTATTACAGTGAGTGAGACCAGGGTGGTTTGTAGAATTGTTGAGAATGAATTTCTGTGGATTTGAACAGTGAAGATCTTGAGTTGGTTTGTGTCGGGACAGGTTCAGTGAAGCTGAGGTGTTGTGAGACAGGACTGGCTTGTGTTGCCGAGTTAGTTTATCAGAGAATCCTCTGTGTAGTTATCGAGGCAGTTCATGTTGAGATTGGTTCAGTGTATTTGATTAGAGTTGGTCATTGTCAGGGCTGGTTCAGTTTAGGAACGCAACTAATTCATTTACAGGTGAGCTTGGATCGGGCTCATTGCATTACTTTGGACTATAGGGCACGTGTGGATTTGTGGAAACCTTCGGATATTTGTGCCCTCTTTCTTTCCAACAACTTGGGATTTGTGGAAGATGAGGTAAGTGTAATAGCAGAAACACTCTCTGTCTGCACTGTTATCATTCCAGGTTTTACAAGGCTCCTATAAATCTGTTGTTGCTTTGCTGGGATTTCTTCAGCTATTTTGTCCTAGAACCAATGCAGAACTGTAACCAACATCATTCCAGTTGTCGCCTGAAGCCAAGTCTGTACAAATGGGAACCAAACCTGACGACTAAATCTCACACCCTGTTTCTCTCTCAAGCTCCTTGGGACTCATGGAGGATATGGTGAGTCTGTATTTGTTGGATCCCTGTGATGATGGCAAAGGTGGTATCTCTTTCTCTCTCGCATCTTTCCACACTCCAGAGGTTTGGTAGCACTATGTGGACTTCATGCAGGATGTCTGACATCCGAACACATGAGCCAAACTCTGGTTCACACTGGTGGTTGAGGTCAGAAGTCATTAGTAACAGACTGGGGTTTGAGAGGGACAGGATGGAAGAAATGTTGCTGGGTTAATGTGTTGAGCTCACAGATTGGGTCGAGGGTAGAATGAATTGGTACAGATTGTAGGAATTGCAGAGATTGAGGTCAAACACTAGTTACATGGGGTAAGGTTAGATTTGGTAACATCTATTACAGCAGTTTGATCTGAGATCAGAGTGAATTTGTGTGTTGAGTAATAGAGTCGCTGTATGGAGGCTGGTTTATTTGCGCAGAACCAGTGTCTGTTGAGGTTGGTTGGGTTAGTGGCTGAGAGTCGGGCCTGGCTGTGCAGCATCAGTTTGTGCACGAGTTGGTTCAGGGCAGGTGTCAAGTCAATGACTATCTGTCGAGGCCGGTTGAGTGCAGTTGTTGAGGGTTAGCCTTTCAGGGTTGGCTCAGTGCAGTTACCTCGGATCAGTCGCTGCCAGGGCTGGTTCGGAGTAGTTTGCACAGCTGGTTTGCTAGTGATGGGCAAAGTGTAGCTGCTGAGAGTCAGTCAATGCCGGTCTGGGTCAGTGTGGCTGCCACGAGTCAGGTTCTGTCCAGACTGGCTTAGTGTTATTGTCGAGTCAGTTTACGCTGAGATTGGTTCAG